AACCGTTGACCCTAGCAAGCTTCCGGCCCACGGTAGGTAGTCTACTGTAGTGTTTGCGGGGAACCCCTGAATTCAGGGGAAGTGGCTGACCCACTACAACGGGTCGAAGTCACCCTTCTTCGCCACATCCACGCTGCAATTGACGTGGGGATCCGACGACTTCCTCGTGAGCAAGTTACACGTACGGTCACAAGTTCTGGCTTAGCAGCCGAGTTGAACTGCATACGGCAGTATCTGTTAAACGAGCTTCCTGCTCTACCCCTACCTTATGATTCCACGTCAGGTATCAATATCAGGACTTACATCCCTGAGGCTAAGGTAGGTAGTGACGGAATGCCAAGGACTTGAGCCTTGGCAGATGGAAGCTACCTTGATTAATTTAGAATACCTACAGTACCTAGCTGGCGGTGTTATTCCACGGGTACGCAAAGGCACTAGCTTGTAACCTTCCCTCGTAGACGTTATCCCTCGAGGACTACTACTATTAGTAACTACGAAGTACTCGTTATGGCTATGGCACAAACCATGTAGGCTTTCCTCAGAACTAATTGCAACCTGGTACATTACAGTAATCACTCCTTGGAGTGCTTTTACACCTTTGCCGTTTACACATCACTCTCCTAGCCTTGATGACGAACATCAATGCCGCCGTTGCTGGGATGACTACCCAAGGAAACGCAATTTTCCAGGGCGTTCAGGTCTACAACGGCCACGTTCCCCATGAAACTTGATGACAATTCCGCTGGCGGAGGGAAACGACTGGACCCGATACTCCCAAGCCCGAAACCTCCTCCGCACGAACACCGTGACCGCTCCTGACTCTATGGACAACATCCTGGTGTTCAACATGCCGCGTCGTGGCTCCTAGAAACTTTTACTGCAAGATCTCCATGCGATTTGATCCCAGTGGCGAAGACCATAAGATATGTGTGGACACGGGTTGTTCCACAATCATGGTCGACAAGAAATGGCTTCAGGAATACGCTCCCGACGTCAAGATCGAGAAAGTCGACCCCAGGGAAATGAGAGCAGTTGGCGACGTTCTGAAGGTCGACGAAAAGGCCACGTTTCACATCTACATCCCGTAGCAGCTCACTACTGAGCTGGCACGCTGTGGCAACTTCCCGGAAAGTTTGGGATCGGCTTTCCAACAGGGATATGCGGGTTGGGACCAGCTTGGACAGAACGCATGCCGATGAATCGAACTGAAGGCCTCTCTGGTATCATGGATATCGCGCTCACCTTCTCCTTCCACTCCGCCATACAGGTACACTACCCGTTGGGGGTGAAAGTAGGAAGGGGGATTTGACTTATACCTGAGCCTACAGGCGCTGGGCGCACCTACAGTTTCAAATACACACTCAGAGTGCCATGTATACCATAGTGTCACACTTATCACGGCTACTGATGACGCTGATTTACATATGGGGAAAATATTCCCGAATGTCTAGGTATACGCTGGCATCCCCGCTTGCGGTGATCTCACGATTCAATTCATCCAAAATGGGTTTAACATATTGTCACTGTGGATATTGTCACTGTGGACATTAATACAAGTAAGTAGCAAAGCCTCGCTGATAGCTAAATCAGCCTTGAAGCGATATCCTTCTCCAACAAGACACACAGGTAGGAAGAGAGCAGTGTTGAGAGGCCGTATACATCCCCAATCAACCCGCTACATTAAGCGAAGCCCGGCCAGGTAGCCTTCTCGACTGCCTCCTTGCCATTTCAAACTCAGTCGCCGACTCGGCAGCAGCAGCATATGGGTTGTTGCTGTTGTTTCCGGCGTGTCCATTTCCATAGTATTGCTCCTGTAGCGACGATCCTTGACTACTAGTAGCCCGTGGCGGTGCGGCAGACCGGGGCGGTGTAGTCGCTGCCGGTTGCTGGTATGCCTGGCCCTGGCTCTGCTGGGCATAGGCCTCGTCATCGGCACGGACCTTTCCGGGCCGTGGAGGCGGGGCGAGCGGAGCTTGCTGCTGCGGCTGCCTTGCCGTGGGGCTGTAGTTGCTGCCGCTGCTGGTAGCTGTGCCGTCGTTGGTGGGATGGCCGGTGCTGGCCGGGATGTTGTCTGCTCTGGACTGCGGCGTGAAGGCGTAATGAGTGGAATTCCTTGACTCGGACGCGACTGCTCCGAAGGTTGGGCCTACGGGTTGAGCTAGCTGGGGTTCTCCCGCTGAAGGAGGCCTTGCACGCCGGGATTGTCTGGGGGACGAGGGGCTGGGAGGCGGTCTCATGCGGACTGCTTTCTCGCTGGCGTTGGCGTCTTCTTCGTCGTTACTGGTGTCTTCCGCATCATCGAAGCCGCCACCATCAACAGGCTGAGATGGGTCAGCTTTGCCCTAAGGATGGGATGGCTGAATGACTTACTGTTCTGAGTTCCTTGCGCATGGCAAGGCTGGCACAGATCTCCTTGGCCTCTTCGATGGATTTCTTCTGAACTTTGAGGGTCTGACGCCGGTCCCGGGTCTCCTTGTTCTCAGCAGCAATTGCTTCAATGACTTCGTTGCTCAACTCGAGGACTTTAGCCGGATTGAACATGCTGTATATGCCTTGGAGAAGATGACGCTCTACCACTTGTGTAATGACGTTCCGAATGAATGACTTGGAAGCCAGATCGTAGTAGATAAGCATTTTTTCCAGCACCTCCTCGGCCTCGGAGAAGGTTGCGCCCGCGTTGGAAATGCTGGCGTGCCAGTTTCTCAAACGCTCTTCGTACTCGGGGTCATGCGGTTGAACTTCGAGGTTCATATCATGCATCAAAAGATCCAGCTCGTGCTGAGCGTTACCCATCAGCTCCTTCATTTTGGGCTCCAGGAAATGGCGGCGAAGGGGCTCGCGCATACGTTTCGGCCAAGCGTAGTCAATGAGCTCGCTGAGAAATTCGTTACACACGACCCCAAGGTTGTCCTTGTGCTCCTGAGCTAGCTTGGGCCATTTCTCAGAGTAACTCTGGAAGAGCATGTAAACGGCCCTCGGTTTGGGGTCCATGGGAAGTTCAGACCCGCGGACCTGACGCAGCAGCGGTTCAACTTCGCTGCGGATGAAGTCCCGTTTGACGGCATCAGTAGGAACCTGCTCACCGGGCAGCTGCGAAGCGGATGCAGAGAAGTTGAACTTGCGGCCGTGTGCTCGTACGCCTTGTGAAAAGCGGTCGTTTTCCTCAATAGCGCGGGCGCGGAGATTCTGCACAGGGGTCCCTCTTGGATCCGCCGTTACGCGGAAGAAGTTCTTCTTAGGCGGATTCTTATAGAAACCATAGACCGCTGGAATTACCAGTTCCTTGGACGCGGAGAAGAGTTCGACAAGCTCAACGCGCATCTCTTCTGGGGTGTCTTTGGCGGTGCCGAGGGATGCGAGTTCGGCATCGCAGGCGTCGAGGGCCTTCTGGATCTGTTTGCGGAGGGTATGAACGTGCTTTCCGATGTGCTGCTGTAACTGTACGCTGAGTTTCTGCATCAAGGCGGCAGTACCGCAGATTGACCTTGCGAGCGAGGCCCATTTCCCCCGGTTGAAGAAGGCTGCCTCGACTCGGCGACGCTCCTCGACGGAGGGCCAAGGCTGACCCGGCTCCCGAGGCCCCGGGTTCAGGAGGACATACCAGCCAAGCCTAAACTCGTTTCTCTTGTCCTTGTTTTGGACCAAATCGAGGAACTTATCTTCGAGTCCAATGGACTCTGTGAGATCAGGCTTCGTCAAGACGCCAATGGTTCTGGATCCACTCGGATCGAAGTGGCGTGCCTTGGTGAGAATAGGAGCCTGCACATAGTCGGAATTCCCACCGACGACAGCCAGGATGATGGTACGAGAGCTCCTCATGTATCGGTCCGACAAGGCTTCAATTGTCTTGATGTCTTCCGGAGACTGGTCGTTGTTCGCATTGCGTACAAGGCCAGGCAGATCTACTAGGGTCAGTAGAGGCATATCTGGGCCGCGTTTCTCGACGACTAGAATGTCACGCGCCGCAAATCGGCCAGGAATGTTCTTGGGAGCGATGAGGTCGACGGCAGCTTTCATTAGATGTTCGAAGGGCATGCCGGCGTTGACCATTCCGCCAAACTGTCTCAACTGCTCCTGCTCGGCGAAGCTGCGGTTCTTGTCTGGAATCACGGAGACGGTGATGCTCGACTGGGGCGCTCTCCGTAGCCTAATCTCGGTCGCGAACCTGGTGCAGGCGCCCGCATCGCGGGGAAAAGGGGTTCCGGTAATGGCCTCGAGGACCGAGCTCTTTCCAGCACTCTGGTCACCGACCACGATGATTTGTGGTAGCTTGACATTGTCGAGCTGAGCAAACTGAAGCTTGTCAATGAGATCGAGGAGGGCACGCTGTTCACTGGCCAGCTCATGAGCATCCACCGCCAGCTCAAGACGTGTAACCATCTTGGGCTGCGGGACCCGGGAAACGGAAATGGAAATGAAAGGATGTGAATTGAACGAGTCAAAAAGATTATGGGAATTAGAACAGCAACAAGCAGACGAGGTAGGAATGAGTTAAGAGGAGATGGGTCATGAAGCACAAGGCTCCAGACATGGCAACTTTGTTAGATACCATTACCAGGCATATCGGCTGCCGTTTGTCTCGCCACAGCCCAAAACCGCGTGGCCCAACCAAGCGGAAGCGGACAATCTTTGAGAGCAACAAGCGCAGCCCTGTAGGTCCAGGCCTCGCCTGCTGTAGTACATACATACATCACACGGGGTTGGATGCCTAGACCGTCTGGCGCCGCTGGCGAAGGTCGACATTCGTCAAGGGGGTTACGCCCGGTGACGACGGCGGATAACGCGTCACTGGATCAAGTTATGGATCGCCCCAACGACGAATTGGACAAGCGGCAGTGCCGAGGGAAAAGAAAAATGTGTCATGATTGGGTGGACACTGGAGATCAAGTAAGCTAATCCCAGCATTGTGATAGATATGGTCCCAGATTGCCTCTGCTCAAAATGCAGAATCTTGCGCGTAGGCAGCTCATAAACTGGAGGAGCAGCAGGCCGTTGAGTGCTCGAGCCTCGCGGCGAGTTGGCAGACGTTGTGCTGAATGTGGGGACAAGTGGCGGTGCAGCGCCACAGATAAGAATGCGACCCCGCGTCCCCGCCAGAGTCGCCTCGCCTGGGCTGACTGAGGGCCTGCTGTTGACACATCGCACAGATAATCGCCGTAGTGGGGACCAGCGCTGAAGCGTAGCAGACTCCACAGCGCAACGTCACCACGCAGGCTGGCAGGAACCAGCTCCACAGCCCGCCGTTGAGCTGCCAAGCTCGTGTGACTTCAACTTTGAGACTGCGCTACAGCAACGAGTTGCAACTGGCTTGCAACAACTTCCAATGTCAACGCTGCTAGTCCCATTCCAGGTTGCCGCTTCACCGCACTTTGTGTGATGATAGCCGAAGCGCGTCGCAGTCGACACCATGAACCTATTCGGCGACGACGGGCACCGCGACAAGGACAAGTGCCTCGGCGATAACTATGTTGGTCCCCAGACGAAGGACACGCAGGTGCAACTCGTCATCTCCTTGACTCTTGGTCTGTCCGCCTTACTGACCTTCTGTGTAAGTCCCCTTTCCCCCTTCTTGCCTGAATGACTCGCTGACATGATTGACTCTCCGGCACGCAGACACTGAGACCACGATGGAAATCGCTCTATGCCGCCCGAAAGCGCCCCTCAGATCCCACCTTTGGGCTGCCAGTCCTCCCTGATAGCTTCTTCGGATGGATGCCAGCACTCTACAAGATCACCGACCAGCAGGTGCTGGCCTCGGCCGGCCTGGACGCATACGTATTTCTGGCCTTCTTCAAGATGTCCATGAAACTGTTCGCCGTCATGTTCTTCTTCGCCACCGTCGTCCTCGAGCCCATCAACCGCCGCTTCGTCCCCGACAGCTCGCCCGACACCGGCTCGCCGCAATCGCTACTCTTCCGCAACTATGCAACCTACCGCAGCTATGAGCACACGAGACTGTTTGGCGACAGTGAACCTCCGGAAAAAGATCCCGATAATAGCTTCAACCGAAACATGGGCTACCTCTGGTCCTACCTAGTGTTCACCTACCTATTCACCTATCTTACGCTCCACTTCATGGATAGGGAGACACGCAAGGTTCTCAGTGTGCGCCAGGATTATCTAGGGACCCAATCCACTATTACCGACCGGACTTTTCGGTTGGCTCGCATTCCAACCGAGCTGAGGACCGAAGAATCCATAAAGCAGTTGGTGGAGAAGCTCGAGATCGGCAAGGTTGAAAGCGTCACTCTATGTCGAAATTGGACAGAACTTGACCGGTTGATGGAACAAAGGCAGACGATTCTTGCAAAGCTAGAGGAGGCGTGGAGCGTCTACTTAGCCCACAGGCCGTTGGTAGCGGCGGACGAGCCGAATGGGGACCACGGAGGCCCAGATGCGGCTGACGAGGAAGCTGGGGAGAATGACCGCTTGCTGAGAGGCCCCAGGGCCCGCTCCGGCGGACGGTCTCGCCCACAAACGCGGTTCTGGTATGGCTTCCTTCGTCTACAAAGCCGCAAGACCGATGCTATCGACTACTATACCGAGAAGCTCCGGCAGCTGGACGAAAAGATTCTAGCCGCCAGAAAGAAGCAGTACGAACCTGTCGATCTCGCATTTGTTACCATGGACTCTGTTGCCGCCTGTCAGATGGCCATACAAGCGCTTATCGATCCGCATCCCGGCCGGCTCCTGACAAATCCTGCCCCTGCCCCTTCCGACATCGTCTGGAAAAACACGTACGCGTCTCTTCTAAGCCGCCGCATCCGCTCTTGGGGCGTCACAATTTTCGTCGCGGTCCTCTCCATAGTCTGGCTAGTCCCTGTCGCCTTCCTCGCCTCGGTCCTCAGCATCTGCACCATCAACAACGTCTTTCCCTCCTTTGGCTCATGGCTCAAGGAGCACGAGATCGCTCGGGCGCTCGTGCAGACTGGACTCCCCACAGCTGTCGTCTCCCTCCTCAACCTTGCCGTGCCCTACCTCTATGACTACCTCTCCAACCACCAGGGGATGCTCTCCCAAGGTGACGTGGCCCTCTCCAACGTCAGCAAGAATTTTTTCTTCACCTTTTTCAACATCTTCCTCATCTTCACCGTCTTCGGCGCCGTCACCTCCATCTTTGATGTCCTCCGCAACAGCCTCAAGGACACGACCTACATCGCCTACACGCTAGCACGCAAAATCGAGGAGCTGTCCGTCTTCTACACAAACTTCATCATGCTTCAGGGCCTCGGCCTGTTCCCCTTCCGCCTGCTCGACTTTGGCAGCGTCGCCCTGTACCCGATCAACCGCATGGGCGCCAAGACGCCACGCGATTTTGCCCTGCTCGTCCAGCCGCCCAGGTTCTACTACGGCTTCTACCTCCCCACCGCCCTGCTGGTCTTTATCCTCTGTCTCGTCTACAGCGCCCTCCCAAACGGCTCCTTAGTCCTTGCCCTCGGCCTGGCCTACTTCTCCCTCGGCTACTACACCCACAAGTACCAGCTGATCTACGCCATGGACCAGCCCCAGCACGCCACCGGCGGCGCCTGGAGGATGATTTGCTACAGGATCATGCTCGGCTTGGTCGTCTTCCAGCTGACCATGTCAGGATACCTGGCCCTGAGGAAGGCGTTTACCGTCGCCCTGCTGGTCGCCCCGCTCTTTGTGGGCACTGTGTGGTACGGCTGGGAGTTTAGGAAGCGCATGGAGCCTTTGACGAGATTCATCTCGTTGAGGAGTATTAAAAGGAGTGAGTTCGAGGGCGGTGAAGAAGGCGAGGGGAGTGGCGTGATATTGGATGGGGACGAGGAAGAGGATTTGGGCAGGGCCCGCAGGGAGCTGCTGAGGCGGGGCAGTACTGTCGACGAGGAGCGAGAGAAGGGATTACGGTTTGTGAATCCAAGTTTGGTGGTCCCGTGAGTACCATTCCGCTATTTTTGAGTTTTCCATTCTAGGGTTGACTTTGACTGACCTGGCGATGTAATGCTCCTAGGCTCGAACAACCGTGGATACACCAGGATCCGCCGCCACCTCTGGTAGAGGCTGATGTTAGCGACGGTCAGACGACCCCCACGTCTGGTTGGCGCCGTGACGGCCCTGGACCGGGCTCTCAGACCCCCCAGCAGAGCCAAGGAACGTCGCGTGAAGGGAGCAACGCGTCGAGTGTTGTCAGTCTTGGAGATACCCATATATGGAGGGAATAAGGCACATGTTTGTCGTTGGGTTGGGTTGGTTTATCATTGCAAGGCGCTGGTTCAAGGATGTACTCGCACCCCCATGGTGCCTTTCTCTCATATATCAGGAGATCTCACTCACTAATGTAGGTTAGAGTTTGAAAGCGATACTTAGCCATAAATACATCCTCACCTGATTTCACGTTATCAAGAGGTTTGATCAAAACTTGACTTTGCACTTGGCTTAACCACCTCTGAAAATTGATCCTATCTCACATCATTACCTAGCAGCTTAGCTACAATTCCGATATTTAGGTAGCGGACTGGTCTGCAAGTTTATCTACAGCTATATGTGTCTTGCCAATATCAAGCAACAAGTGTGATGGCGTGGCAGTGTCCCCCTGTTCCTTTAGGCTGTAAGAGGCGTGTGAGGAGCAATAAGAATATAACCGGACCACTCACAGGGATCCGACTCCCAGGTCGTCCTTGTAAAGTACTTCCCTACATTTCAAATCCCATTCAAGTTCCCAAATATGAGCTCTCAGGACCGACAGCGACCTTTATGCCCTTAATTTTCCCCTAATCCTCGTCGAGGCCATGCAAAAAGTCCCGTGTTTGGGACCGGCTCCGAACACTGATTCCGGAAGCTCGCGGGGGCTCAAATCCGTGAGATTCTGTTCCTGCCGCATTGGAGTTCCGGTTTTGGCGGTCATACCAGTTTTTGAGCGGCTGAAATTGCTGAAGTGGCTGGCGGATCTCTGGAAGCTCGCTATCAATAGTCTTGTCACTGGCAACGCAGATAAGATCAACTTCGTCGTCTGAACCGTGAGGGGACTCATCAGAGGTGATAGAGACAGCCGTATAGTGCTTCTCAGGGTTGCCAGAAGTGCTCCCCTGCGGAGTGCCTTCGTTGAAAGCGAGACTGTCTTCCATGATTGACTCTTGAATTTCCATCGTGACGCTGCTGCTGCTTGGGCTGTCCTCTCTGTTGCTCGGCGTGTTTGCTTCCCTGCGGAGTTTCTCAATGATGGAGCTGCGATTTATTGGGGTCGGCGTAGAGACGGGCTCGGAGGGAGTATCGGCCCTCATACGCTTTCTCGGATCGTTCTCGCCTTCATCCCCAACAGCCGGGCGTTTCCGGTTCTGAGAGTGGGCCATGTTGGCATGCATAACCCTCTTCTCGGCCTCTTCGCACTTCTTCTTCCATGCCTGGAGATCTGCTTCATCGAGTTTCTCCAAGATGGGGTGCTCAACTAACTGGTGACCACGCCCATGCCCCTCAACCTCCGCAATATCTCCAGAGACTGTGTTCATCCTGATGGTGAACTCAGTTTGCAGCTTCTTCAGGTAGGATGCGAGGGCCGAGTCATCCATGATCGAGTTATAGGCCTGCTTCAGCAGATCTGGAAGGGCGAGTACAAGTTTGTTCTGTTTTAGCACCCGAGTAGCCGGACCTGCAACTTTACTCGCTTGTCTTTCGCGAAGGAATTTGCATATCTGTTCGGCGTTGTTGACCACTCGTGCTGGGAGATAGCGACGGGCAAGATCAAGACCGTAGTCTTCATTTCTGATAGGCCCGCTGGCGACAGTGTGCGGCAAGCTGATCTGGAGAGTGTCACCGTCCCTGATGCTTTCGCCGGTGAGGTGCACGTTCAAGACGCTGTTTCGATTCGTGGCGTTCAATACCTTGGCTTAACCGGAGATTAGCTTACCCAGCAGCTGTTGGAACGCAGCGAAATCTCACCAAGTTCCGTAAAGTGTGTTGCAAAGAACACCCGGCACCCTCTCTTGATCAGCTTCTCCGACATTGCAAGGGCGATGGCCAGCCCTTCCTTGGTCGAAGTCCCCCGTCCAAGTTCGTCAATCACAACAAAGCTATCTCTGGTAGCCTGCCTAAAGAGCTTCTTAGCATAACGTCTCACTATGAGCAACAGACACGAGCGGGCGCACCGGAGAATCATATTCATCTCTGTCATCTCAACTGCGAAGGTGCCCAAGTTGCTCTCTGGCCTGTCTTCCGTCGACAAGCGGGTAAAGAGCCTGTCACAAATGGGAATTGCGGCATACTGCGCTGGGACAAAGCTGCCGATTTGCGACATGATCTGGATCATTGCAACGGCTTTGATGAAGGTGCTCTTGCCACTCATATTGCCTCCGGTGATGAGTTGGAACCGAATATCTTGTTCCCCTAGATAGACGTCATTTGATACAAAATTCGTTTTTCTGAGCTCGGCAATTGGGTTTCTTGCTGCTTTGAGAACCAAGTTGTCTGAAATGATCGGACGAACGTAGTTCTGAGTAGTGGCCAGCTGGACGAAGGAGGCGAGCATGTCCAGCATTGCCGTTGCTTCGCTCATTGCCAGCAGGCACTCAACATGGTCTAGCAAGGCTGTCTTCAACTCGGTAATGACTTTGTCGCTCTGCGCTGTTACAATATCGGCCTGCCGTTGGATCTGGCTGCTCATCTGGATGAGATCTATTGTCTGAAAGTGGTAGTGATGCTTCCTCCGACTGGCGTTGACAATCTCAACTCCACCGAGAGAACGCTGTCTCCAGTGCTGAGTGCCGATGGCCCTTTGGTTGTCTGCCAAAGCCAAGCATCTCATAACTTCACGCTCAACGTCAGACCATTGGAACCGCAAGTAGTAGTGATTGTTGTTCGCAAGGCGGAGTTCTGGAGTTGCCCCCAACTGTTCTACCAGGTGTAAGAAATACTGCCGAGCGATGGAGCTTGCATCACATGGTCACACCAACCTTGAAAGATCTGGCTGAGGCGTTCCATGTAGTCATGAAGGTCATTGGTGCGATCTTGATATAGTTGGCGAGCTTCTTCCAACACACTTTTGGCCGGGGCCTAGGAAGTCATGAGCGAGGCGAACGGGCGGGTGGGCTTGGACTGGAAAGCCACAAACCTTGACTGCCCACATCCTATTGTTTCTGATATCTATAGGTGCCTTGCTGTAAGTTGCCTGTTGCTCGATTGTTTCTTCAATCAATGCCGTTATAGGAGCCATGAGGTCCGGGCTGCACTTCTGCACGATCGATTTTAACAATTGGCTGGTACAATCCGCTGCTTCGAGAACGTCTCTGAGCCCTCGGAACCTCACAATATACTCCTTGATCATAAGGACATTGTTCAGATCTTTCTCCGCTCCTTGGAGTTCTTCGTGGCTGGCCATGGCGATCTGATGGTGGCCTTCGATCAGTGCCACCCCATCTTGTAAAGAAAGACGTGATGCTTTGGTAGGCAAGGCAATCTGTCAAAATGTCAGCCAAGCAGGAAAATTATTCACGGTGTCCTTACCCATGGAATAGAACGCTCAATGTCAATGCGAAGGAGTTTCTTGAGACTTCCTCGAAGCTCCATGAAAAGGGCTTCATTGCATGACAGCTCCTCGACAGCCTCATGGCGAGCGACAATAACATCTTTGTCTGTACTAGGCTGGAGAAGTGTTGACCGGAGTAGTCGGCGTCCTTGTGGAGTAAGCGTGTGATTCAACAAACCAAAGAGAGTCGACGATGTGCTCTTGGCCTGTCGAAGATTTTGGAGAATCTCCAAAGCGGTTACGGTGGACCGGTCAAGCCCCATCGTATTCACGGGTTGGATGTACTTGACATGGAGCGAGTTCTCCCTGAAGATGAGACTCATTTCCTTTTCAACAAAGGCCATCACCTAGTATTAACCGTCAGTGAAGTCATACCGAATAAAGGGATCTAGTGAAACGGACCGCAGAGAAAGCGCAGGATGCATAGAAGTTGTGCTCGAGATTAGAGCGAGTTGCTTTGACATCCGTCCTCCATGCGAACCGGTCAATCATCCTCAGTCCCTCAGATTCATTCCAGTGCTGCCTATCCAGGGGCACGATCTCGGCGTCCGGAAACTCTGTTTTGAGACATTGCGCAAGCAGTGACTTGCTCTGCTCACTAACGACCTTTTTCAACACCAGGAATGTCTGCGGCAGGCTTGCCATTCTCCAGAGTGCCTCAATGACACGCTGATACCGGTCGTCATTGAGGATTCTGGTGATTTCTACCCGCCCGGTTGTGATGTTGATGACTGCAAGGCCAACCACATCGGAGGATCGGCTTTCGGATATAGCGCAGACGACGCGGTCATCCTGGGTAGATTCCGTGGAAGTCACCGCGTTGAATCCATCCCCGACTTGGGGCTTGCTTGCGTGCGGCAGACCAGGGTCGAAGCGGCTGCCATCATCATGATCAGACTCAGAGTCAGACTCTAAATCAAGATCAAGAAGTCTAAAAGAAGATGGCTCCGACTTGTCACGGTATGCGCTATGCCGAGGACGCATCCTGGCGCCACCTTCGAACAAGCTCGAGGAAAGGTAAGGGTCTGGAGATTGACCGGCATTACCATCACGCTGGGCGGGACGGCGCAAGGGGATTGTATCGCTGGTTATGCCAGTGCCTGGGCTATCTTCCCGTCCCAGAGAGCTGAGAATAGATGAGTCGGGCTTATCGAATCGGTGAAGGTGTCTATCATGGGAGCGTCTAATACCACGAGGATGGGGAGTGCTGCTGGAAATGGATTGGGGGGTAAGGGTCTGTGTCACCTGCGACCTGATTCCTCTGCTGCGAGCCGTGGACCTGTGAGAAGGCAAAGCGTTATGGAAGGTGGAGTCGTCCATCAGACCATCAGAAGTGGTTGATCCGTGTGGTGATATGTAGGATTCCGTGTACCCTTCTCCGCTTCTTCCGTATCTGCGGGCGGAATGGTTGGCCTCTTGTCTATTTTGTGGACTGTTTTCACGGCTTCCATTAAGAGAGTCAGGCCCCGAACTTGGAGTAATGAAAGGATCGGAGGGTAAGGCAGAAAGGCTCTGAGAGGTGACGGCTGGTTGGGGACTTTGTCGAGGGCTGCTGGTCAGGGGTAAGCCAAATGAGCTACTGATGCCGACACAGTCGCTGACACCGGAGATTTCTGGAGTATCAAAGCCGTCGCCTGTTCTCCATGGCTGCCGATGTACCCGCTCAAAGTATGGGGATCGTATCGGTGTCCGGCTGTCCCGCCGTCGAGTTGGAGTGCAGGGCGCCTCTGCACCAAAATCGTGCGTGCGCTCCTCAAAACAGGAATCGAGCTCATCATTTCGTCCGCTAGTGGGTGACTGAGGGCAGTTTTCATCATCCGACTCTCCGTTGGTCCCCAGAGATGGCATGTTGGCCTTGCTTTTGAACGGGTGAGGAAGCAGCCAGTCGTCCCGGTTGCTGATAGTTGGGGAAGCACGCTTTTCAGGTCTAGGCCTCCATACTGCTGGGCTGACTTCCTGGCAACCACGACGGATAGTGGGCGGGGCTCTCTCCTCTGCCAACTCTTTGATCGGGGTATAGCTGCCCTGGAACGATGTATGCTCATGAACGCTTCCCTCGAGCGCATCATGGGCCGGAGATAAAACCACTCTATTGTTGAAACGATCTCGCACGCCGGGTGGAAACAGAGGCCCTCGCGATTTATAGATTGGATGGGGCAGAGAATAGTTGGATAGGGTCTCAAGATCGTCCGTATATTCGACCGAGTTTTGCCGAAGCTCGTGAGCATCGCCAGAATCAATCTGAGTGCCCCGGCGCTGCGCCGTTTCACGGGCAGGTGTGAAGTCTACCAAAACTTGAGGTCTCACATCCAGAAGTCCCGACGCGGCCGAGTCAGTTTGTCTACCTCCATCCTGGTTAGGAACTGAGTAGACGGAAGGCTCGACAGGGTAGTTTCTCAGAGCCGCAGAGATGGCTTTCTTTCGCAGCCAGTCTGAGTCAGGGCGTGAGAACCTAGGCGTGTTGCCGGGGTGGCGTACTGTCTCCGCTGCGGCGTTCGCGGCCTCCTCCTGCTCGGCATTGTCGAACATTATAGGAGTAGTCTGTCGTTTGATGCACAGGTCGCTTTCATTAAGCCTTTCCAACCTGCTCATATCTCTTTGCTTGACGGTGGTGCAGTTGCCGTGGATGAGGAGGAAACAAGCTCGCCCAAAGGCTCCTTCCATGATTTTATCGGTCACGATTGTTGCCTACGGCAAGGAAGACCTAGCAAGTAAAGCTGCCCCATTGATCCTGGCGTTCGGGCTTGTTTGGATTTGCTTGTTGGCAGAGTGCACCTCGCTCCTTCCCGTTGCGAAGCTTGTGATAACGTAAGATACCCCTCTCTTCCGTTTACAGTGTTTCAATGACAAACACTCAAGATCATGTTTATGGATCTCCAAACGTGATTGGATATGCCCATTGTGCCTGTCTGGTAGTCAACCAAGTCTCTGATGGCCAGATAGGCCTCAAGCTATGTAGGTAGGTACTGTACCATTAGTAACATGGCCAATACTCATCTGGTCCTCTTGTAATGTGTGGACTTCGGTTCTTGGTGGTACTTGGGTGAATCGTTAGGTTAACAGGGGGCTTGCCAGCGGAGGCAAGATATGTTGGGAACACATCGAACTTTTATCTAGCCAATATTATCTGCTAGTATATACTGCTGATGGTAGCAGCAAGTTAGCAACGGGGCACTGGGGAGTCGGTCTCCTCCCAACCAGCAAATTCCCAGTGCGACCACCAAAGGTGATGATGGGTTTCCCCTGAGCCCCTTAGTCCAGCTGGTCCAGCGTCTGGACGCTGCCGTTGCCCGTAACTGTGACATTTTCAACGCGCTTGCAGTCCTCTTCGCTGATCTCAAAACGCCACCCGTGCTCGTCCTTGACCTTACCGAGCTGGATGCCCTTGAGTTGAGTGAGCAACTTGGTGCACAGTTCGCCCGGCTCCTCATTGCCCTCTGGGATGTAAGTAATGGTCTCTTCGCCGTCTTTGGCCGATACTCGAGGGTGCTGAGGCAACGCAGCGCTGAACCGACGGGTGATAGATCGGATGGGGACCAAGGCGGCGGCAGTGCCCGCAGCCATGACCTCGGTGAAGTTGGGCAGTTCGGAATACTTGATCTAGTCTCTGCGTCAGCCCACAACCGGCCTGTTACACAGGCAGAAAAGGGACCCGCCACAAACTCACCGTCCGCTTCTCAACTGCCCACCCGAAAGACCTGCCAATCTGCAGGACACTATCACTCGTCACGCTGTCAATCACCGCCTTGCTATCCGGCACCACCAGGGTCACGTCCCCCTTGTCGCCAACCAACGCTCCGATAAAGCCGCTCGTGCTGAACTCATCCACCTCCTCATGCCGCTTGCTATCCAGATGCAGGGTAATCCCATACCCCTCGCGGCGGGCCTTCTCGCTCCACCTCAGCACGGGCGCGTAGTTGCCGCCGACCTTGGCGCTTCCAGTCCCGTTGGGCGCCGCGCGGTCAAAGTCGTCCAGGATGAGCGCCTTGACGGGGTGCGTGCCGTGGTACACGCCCGTGGGCAGGACGTAGACGGCAAAGGTGTACTCCTCGGGCGGGTTGAGGCCGAGCTGGGCCGAGGAGCCGTAGATTTGCGGGCGCACGTACATGGCGGCGCCCGTGTCGTGCGGCGGGACGTACTCGGCGTTGAGCGCGACGGCGGCCTTGACGGCGGTGAGGAACAGGTCCTCGGGCACGGGCGGGATGCTGACGAACTCGGCGCTGTGGCGCATGCGGGCAGCGTTGCGGTCCGGCCGGAAGAGGGCGATGGCGTTGTCTCCCGGCAGGCGGAACGCCTTGAGGCCCTCATAGGCTTGTTGGCCGTAATTGAGCGCGGGCGCCATGCCGTGGATGCGGATATACGGGTCCGTCACGAACTTGAGCGGACTCCATTGGCCGGTTTGGACAGAGTGGTGGGATTCAACATGGCCGTTAACTTAGTGTTCAGATTAGCCTGTATCCTCCGCCGCGTGGGTCAAGGGGATTGCTCTCTACCTTCGCGAACACGGAAGCCGACATTGGACCAGTCAATGGTGTTGACGGGTGGCGGAGGGAAGGGCGCCATGGTCCGGGTTCTGCTAAGAATGGCTGAGTGGACGTCGTACAAATAAAAGGCGGCTGTTTTTTGATGATTTCGAGTTTACAGGGATTAGACGTTCCTTTAAAGCTCACCAGGGAGGTCTCAATGCTTGTGCTATCTGATTGAGAATATCGCCACGTGTAAGCTGATATTGTCAGCCCCGCGAAGCTCCAAGGCGGTACATACAAGTTGAGACAACCGGGAAGGGACAGCTGTCGATGAGTCGACTGGAAAACGCGGTGTGTGATACGCTGAGCTAGGCCATCCTTTTTTCTCCCAGGTAACTGCTCCGATCGGACCATGGAGTTCGCGAGCCAAAAGCTTCAATTTTTCGGTTCCCCGAGCGAGCGTTTATTGGTGCAAGATGGCGGGGTGCAGGACCCTGGAGAGGGGCAGAAATGCCCCGCAAGCCGATCGCGGAGATGATGTCATCAGCAGACCGGACTGGAGTTGAGGGGCAATCGAACAAACCACCAAACCTCATTTCTTCCAGACGAAGTCACAGAAGCAATGAGACGAGTACAAGGAATAGCGTACAAGATCAATTGAACGTCTCTCCCATTTGATAAGCGTGGCCCAGGCGCCGCGTACACATAGATAGTTCCATTGTCCCGTCTAGTCCGTTCCTCCATGCCGATGCAACCCATGCAATGATACTCCGTATGCCTGCCCTATTGCTAGGCGCCACGCCTGTTTCTCAGACACGACCCGGAAACCATACAATTCACAGTCAATCTCCACGTCCTCACCTAGCAGCCGCCCCTCTCTCCCTCAACTCTCCCTCCAGTTCGCTGTTTTCGTGGGACAGGGTGGGATTTCCAGGTTGCTCCCAACCGTCCAATTGCCAACCTAGTCATTTCAGCAGAGAGACCCGAATGTGAACAGGTTGGGGACAAAAACAGCAACACGACGCAACGCTTCGGTTGCGCCGTCAAGGGAATCTATACTATGCAAAGTCGTAAACGTAAGGTTGGAGAAAAAACAAAATGAATCAAAATGCGCAAAAAGCGTCAAGCGGATGCTGCTCCAATAAGGAGCAGCAGAACGAAACCGCAGCATATGCTGCAAACGAAGGTATAGGTCAGAGCTCTCTAGCCCACCGAATCCGACCAGATGACCTCCCTTAAAGATCAGCTGCGCGAGGGATATACCGCGCGGAGCTCTGCCGGCGATGCCGAGCCGGGACACCAGACCTGCATCACATCAAGTTCGCACACATGCCCAAACCAAGAGAAAAGCCAACCAACTCTTGCTTACGCGATAGACGCCAGTCTTTGCAGCGCCATTAGTACCCCTGAGTAACTCGGTTAGCGGTGCGTCCTTGCCTACCACGGCTTGCGTGTGGGGAGACTTGGGGTTTACGAACCGCTCACACCCTGTGTCAGGGTTGCTGTCGCCTCCGTATTCCTCGTTCCCAAGCTCACCGTGACCACTTCCTTGACCACTTTCTCTTCGCCCAGCGTGTTTGCCCACTTGAAGACCTTCTCATCCTCACGACCGTCACCCACCACCATGAGAAAGTCGACCGGAGACTTGTGCTGCTCGTCCGGCTCCATATGCTCTCGGAGATTGGCAAAAACTCTCTGCGCCGCGGTGCTCTTGGTCCAATCTAGCGGCTCGACAAGCACACAACCGTCCAGGGGAATAGCATGAACACGTTGCTCCTCGCATGCATCGTTGATATGGCTGGCACAGTCTGTCGCCTGTCGCATGGCTGCTTCGTAGTCCTCGGCCGACTTGTAGTGGAAGATAAGGGAGCATCGGCGGTCTTCAATCTCGGCGCCTGGCGTGCGCTCCAAGTAGTAGGTCAGGATATTCTTCACCGACTCCTTCCATGAGCGGATCTGCTCTGAGTCGGCCATCTCCGTCCAATCCTCGCTCCCGCAGTCCTTGAGGAAGCAACCGTTCTCGGCAATGAGGCCAAGGTTGGGCACACGGCGGAATAAACGGTCAAGCTCTTCAGGCCGACGACCAGACATGACGTAAATCGTGTTCCGATCGTCAATAAGCAGATCGTTCAAGATATCGAGGGTACGCTACGTCCAGCTGTGTCAGACCAGTCTATGGTGAGGCTAGGGATTCAACTTACCTGTGGGCTAACTGGAATGATCTGGTTGACCGGCCCCCAACTGACCAACGTGCCTTCGAAATCGAGAATGAAGAGTCTCCTTTCAGACCTCTTGTACTGCTGGATGAGGGTACTCATCGAGAGCCGTGGGACAGAAGTCTGATCGCGGCGATGCTGTTCTTCGTAGACACGATCCAGGCGGGACATGAATTCTGTGAACCAGTGCGAGCCGGTGTGGTGGTTGACAGCCTCGTACAGTCTTGTCCATCTCTGCTCCTTTTCCTCGTCGCTCATCTCGAGGGCTTTCTTGATGGCATCGGCACAAGCCCTGTAGTCCCAAGGATTGACTGAAAGCTCGTTCCCTCCAAAGAGAGATGAAGTGCCCGTAAACTCGCTTAAAATGAGAGAGCCGTGCTTTTTCTCGCTGATCTTGCCGTCCTGGCAATACAGGTACTCATGTGATGTCAGGTTCATGCCCTCGCGTTGGCTCGTGATCATCAAGGCATCTGCAATGCTCAGCAGAGCTAGATACTGGGCATAGTCGATATCCTGCTTAAGATAGACAACGGGCTGGTAGGCAAGGTTCGCCCAGGATGAGTTGACGCGAGTGACGATATCCGAGACTGTGGCATCTAGCTCACTCTTTTCGCTCGTCGACAGCGCAACCTGGATCAAGACGATGTTGTCTCGCCATTGGGGGTTCTTGTTCAGGAAGAGCTCGTAAGAGAGGAGTTTCTGTCTGACGCCGCGCACATGATCAAGTTTGTCCCGGGCGACAATGAGCTTCTTGCCGGCGTATCGCTCGCGCATGATGTTCAACCATCTTTTCACCTCGTCCTCTTCACGGTGTTGGCTCAAGCTCACAGGGTCGATACCGATAGGCAGATTGACCACGTCGACGAAACGATCCTCCAGTTGCAGACCGTCGGGGGTGGCTTCGGCGCTTAGAATTCGACTGCACGTCTGAAGGAAATGCCTGGTGTATTCGTGGATCTGGAAGCCAATCAAGTTCGCGCCAAGCATACCCTCCAGGAGCTGCTTCCGCACGGCCAGGCACCTGAACACCTCTGACGAAGGGAAGGCGACATGGAGAAAGAAGCCGATCTTGGCGTCGGGAAGCTTCTTGCGTACCATGCCAGGCACGAGCAGCAGGTGGTAGTCATGCACCCAGATGACATCGCCCCTCTTCCAATTTTTCACGATCTTATCAGCAAATGCCTGGTTGACATTCACGTAGTACTTCCACGAGTGGTCTTCGTACGCCTTGCTCTTTGGGTTATCGGGGATCTGATAATGAAATACTGGCCAGAGGATCTGCTTGCAAAAGTGCGAATAGTGGCCGTCAAAGTCCTTGTCGGAGCAGAAAACGGTCAACATGTCGTGCTCCGTGGCTAGCCTGTCTTCAATATCCTGGAGCTGCTGGGTGCCTTGCAAAGCATCGGTTGGCATGCCGAGAGTGCCGACCCACGTGTATTCTCCCAGCTTGCCCTCTCTGGCTGCAGCTTCAGCGGCATTGCGAAGGCCTCCATTTCCCTGGTCGGCGTTGACAACCTTCCAGTTCGCATGTGCAAAAACGCGGTCATGGCTATCGCTTCTAGCGAGAATGCTTGGCTGCGTAATCCCCTGACGCCCTAATTCCTTTGCCTTCTGATGGAGATTCCGTGCGTTGTCCGTCAGGGAGGGCGGGGGAGGCGAGTTCGCTCTTGACATTGGTTGATCAGGGCGGCCGCCCCATGTCGGAGAGCTTCGGTCGGTCGGCGCGCGGAAGCCGTCAGTGCCCGCAGTTGCAAGCGGCGGCAGCTGTATCCGTATGCCATCCTCATTCGTAAACGGATCAACCCGCTTCTTGTCTTCGGTCGGAGTCTGAGGGGGAGTTATGTTTTTGGGCTCGAACAAACTTGGCTGTTTATCGGGCAGCGGCGGCCTGGCACCCGCGGGCTGCTTCTTCTCGGATGGAGCACCCCGCGGAGGGGTGCCCGGGAGTGTGAAATGGATGGTTTTAGGAAGAAAGCTGTGCCAAAATACAGTTAGGTTAGCCGTTAGATATCCCAAGGCTATGCGGGCGAAGTCTTGAGCTTGTATGCCGGCCCCGCTGCCACTGACGCGATTGGAAATGTTGCGCTTGAGATCGTCCTTGCTCCCCAACGACAAGAAAGACTTACAGGGACGCAATGAAGACCGTCATGATGGGCGGATTGGGCAGCCTAAATTAAGTTGGCCGGATAGTAGTGCTGAAGACGGGTCCGGAAGATGCAGTGCCGGGTGTGTGAGGAGGAGGAAGAGAAGTTTTGCTATTGGGTCCTGGGCGTCGAGCTCATGAGTTCAGTAAGAGACGAATCCGCTGCCAAGTTGATTCGTGCTGGCGCATCCACAGGCCGTTGCTACCGGTGAAAGTTTTTTGGGAAGGTTAACGGCGAATCGCAGGCACATCAAACACGGTGACGTCGTCGGCTAACCCGGGTCGAAGGGGCGGGGCCCAAGCCGGTGGCCTTAGTTGCACGTGGTGTATGCGGGGCGGCACTTGGATAAGATAAGAAGCTTTTGGGTTTGCCGTGATCGCACAGCAGCAGTTAAGTTCAACAGGGGATACCGGCGGCGGCGTTCGGCGGGCGAGGTGATTTACATATCCCGAAGGCTTTGATCTAGCACGATCGGACTGAAGTGGTTGGGGAACGAGGCAGGGCGGGGATCAATAAAAGAAGGAATCGAGTGTTCTCGAAGACGGGACTGTTTCAGAAGGTCAGCACCAACAAGAATGGGAATCTGGAGTTTTCCGGCCCGGGTCGGGCTGCGCTAGCTGGGCGTGAAGACAGGGCATGGAATTGGTGACGGCAAGGATCTTAGCGCGCCTAGAGCAAAGATGCGCCGTCACCACTCCCCCACTGACGTAAGAGACCCAGAAGGATGCGGAGCCGTCTTTTCCACACAAGGACGTCAAATTGAAGAACCGGGTGACGGTGCTATGAGTGAATTTGAAAGAGTAAGCGGTACCTACGTGACAGCTCAGAAGCTCGGTAATAGCACGTTTCAGCTGCTTGATTCCAAGAAACCCTCAAGAAGCGATTCACCCGGAAGCGCAATTCGATTTCCTGAGCCAAGCAAGATGGTGTAAAATTTTCCGTCGTCCCAAAAAAAAGGCCGCGGCCGTGGGACCGCGGATCCGGTGTAAGAGCCGTGCGTGGATCCTGACGAGAGGAGCACGAAGGTCACGGACAGCAGCAGCAGGACACTGCATCGTCTTTATCTGGGTAGCAGCCCAGCTCGCTTCTCAACAAAGCTGGGTGAGCTCGTCTCAGAAGGTGGGAGGTGGTACAGTTGGTGGGGCCAATCACTTTCGCTGGGCAGCATTCGTCCCGCACGCGTAGCGCGATTCCAGAATTTCCAGTGGACAGGGTGTCTTGTGCTCCGGGTGACAGGGAAGCTCGCCTAACGCTGGTCGGCTGGACCAGCTTTCCCATGTCCAATGTGTCCATCCTTTACGTTGGCAACATGGAACTCGACATCAAAACTCCTGCACCTTCACGTGGCAGTGGTCGGTGGTTTGTCTTGACGCTTACTCTGATACTCTGATACAGACAATTGGACGAATGCTTACTTTTTTGTTATAGACTCAATGGCTCAATTCATCCGCCTTCCCTTTGTGTTCCTGCCACACCATTCTCAGGGAGCATCAATCACGTAATGCAATGCTTCAGATCACCACACGACGTCGCCAGGTGATGTGCTGACAGTTGACAAGCCAGCTTGGCTCGGAGGGCTTGATGGATGCCGCCTACTCAAACTCCAGTCACTGTTGGTTATGCGAGATCGACGGGAGGCTAGACTCCCAATCCCAGTGCAAAAATGTAAGCACGCGGGATTCAGGTGCATCTGCCTTGTTGGCCATGCGTCCTGTGTATCAACTCGGCACACTCAGCGGGACGGGCATGCCAGTCAACCTGGAGATGAGGAGACATTCTTTCCGGTCATTGTGAGTACCGAATCCTACCTTCATGCCGGTTTCCCAATGGGTGGCCCAGTTCCTGCTCCTACTCAGCAAAGGGAAACCACTCGCTTACCCCCCAACTCAAGCAAAGGCTGATTGACTATCATGATTAGATACTCGGAACATGCTGGCCTGGCCACGATAGGTTTACTGCTGACCAGTCAACCCCATGCTCCGTGTATGGTGCTGGGACACGTAAAGGACACTGTGATCCAACAGATCTGACTATTCAGGGCTTCAGAGCAACAAGCAGGGCCTGATGCTATTTTTGCCTTTTGAATGGCAGAAGAGTCCGGCCGTGCCTGGTCGGTTTTTACAACTTCGGAACGCTCCAGTTCTCTTCCCGGTGCAAGCGGGTTATGAAATCCGGCGCGGATTCAAGCCATCGGCCATCATAGCACAATGCCGGGGTTTGCTCCGTCAATCCGGCCGAGGGATGCCGCTTGGCGGGATGACGGCCGGGTGGAATGGTCAAGCCCCATCTCGACCCCACTGTCCAACTTCTCATCTAAGTTACGCGTGCCCCGCCCAAGGCGTGAAAGTTATTAACAAGCTAGAACTGTTCTGTCTTCCATTAGAGGTCCTAGGTATGTAGTACGGCCTTACGAAGCTAAGCGCCTGATTCTTCGGTTTATACCACTCAATCCTGCCCACTCATAGAGACAGTTCGAACAACGTGCTGGGATCAGTCGTCGACTCGGCATTCGGGAGCCAAGCGCCGTGGACAAAACACACACGGCCGCAAGGGACTACCACTCTGCACTGGATAGGCAGATATGAAATTTTTTTTTTTTCCAGCACGGGCCGGAGAGCACTTGCTGGGGCGGCAAGTTGGATCGTTGACTGCAAGCCGAATGATTGAATGAGGCCGCCGACCCGAGATCTCCCGAATCAAGGTGGAATTTTTGATAGGCTAAAGTAGCCAGTCCCCATTCCGTCACTTTTGTGTAAGGATGCCATCCAGGGGCTGCTCTTTGCAAAGCCTGCAGCAACCCGGCCCCCATCTGTGTGTGTCGATGTCGACGGAATTGGCGCCCTGCATCAACACCTAGATGGTGTCTCAGCCGTGCTCTTCGCCTCGAAAATGGCTCATAATGGATGCCCGACGGGCCCGCGAAGCGGGTCGTACTAGGATCACAGGCATCGACGGAGGGAGAATGACTGGCTAACATGAAGAGGGGAAGTACCTGAGAGTGTTGTGGAAGGCTGACAGTGTTTTTTGCTGCAGGCGCGAATATCAAGAATCGCCGAGCTTCCACCGCACCCGGGTTACAGTGACTTTTACAGCTATCATCCGCCAGAGACTACCCTCCCTTCGATCAGAATCCATGCTCCACCGGCGCATCCCAATTTTGTTTCTTGGAAGTTCCAGATGGAGCAAACAGCCTCATTTGCAAGCTGCCGTGGAGCCCAGAAAGAAACTTTCGCCCGTTGACAGAACAATAGACGCCTTTGGCGGCGGGATCCAGGACGGGTGGGACGGGCCGCAACGGTGAAGGAGTATACATAGTTTACACTAACGTTACGCTAACTTCAGCCACTGTTCCAGGACATGGTAGGGTATCAACTTTCGTAGATCATCTCACGTTAGCAGGGCGGGAGGCGCTTTAACAACGCTCTACATAAGTACTACCCTTACTGAGGTCTACACAACGACGAAGATAATAGATCTCGCGCCTTGCCCTGAGATGCTTGTTGCAGATTCAACGTTGCCAGTTACCTTCTCCCGTTTAATGGACACGGCGATCTGAATATAATGCCCGGTTTATCCAAGATGCAGGATACGTTACCATCCATCCGGCAACAACACATTTTGTTTCCTGGAAACAAAACTGCGACCACACTACGTGCCACAACTTGCATTTCGCAACACGACAGACACAGAGCCCCTTTCTGGCTGCGAACAGAATCTGCCGAGACCTGCCAGAATGCTACCGTTCCAATCAGACAGATGCAAAAAAATGCCGCTCATCAACTACCTAGAGTATTTTCCCGCTTACACTACCGTGATGCGGTTCAGTATGTAGGCCGCCAGTACCGCCCGGCCGCTGCCGGCGGGATATCACGATATGCCCCGGGGAACCAAGCGGCAAAGCAAACAGCATGGCACAGGACCCCCTGATAGTTGACGCGAATTGCGGAGAAGCCCCAGGATGAGACTACAGTACACCTGTGTGGCCCGACGACGGCCAAGCACATGCCGAGAGCTCTCTTCCAGGCAGCGCACCCATAACCCCTCCGCCGTCGCCGGAGACCCCTCTGTTATTAGAGGTTGGCACCTCTCAGGTTGAGGGAAACTGCGCCATACGCGTCCCGGGAGCGATTCGTCAGCGTATGTACTGTATGTACTACTAGTACATTTCCTCATCCACCACAACGAGGACGTTAGTGCGGAAAGTGGCACTTCTCGGTGTTTCCAATCTAGGTTTGGTTGCCAGAAATGCGGGTAATCCAAACGCGGTGCGGCCACATCGGCTTTCCTGATATGATATCTCACCAGTCTGGTTTGTAACGGGTTGCGTCCTTCGTCGAGGCTGTGCTCTCCGTACGACAAGGCTGTAATGCATGGTTTTGACCACCATACATTTACAGGTTCAGAGTGATGCACACGGCGTGCAATTCGGAGCTTCTTTTTGGGACCACCCAAAGTCGGATTTTAGTTGTCGGCACCACATCTCGTGGCATGGTAGGGTATCATCGGCTTCCCTTCTCCCGTTCGTAACGTCACTAGTTCCTCCATGTCCTCACTGCCTTGTCCTTTCCGCCCGAGCCGACCATCTTCCCGTCGGCCGCCCAATCCACGGCATAAACCTGTCGCGGCGCCGGTTAGTTAGTCCGAAAACCTGCCTACAATGAAAGGCTGGCGGGCGCTTCCCAAGCCTCTGGTATGCATACCTCGTCTTCATGACCCGGCAGGTCCATAGCGAGGTTCCCAGACCGTGCATTCCACACTTTGAGAGTGCAGTCTTTGCTGCCGGTGACGATGAGTCTACTGTCTGCAGACCAGGCGCACTGATAGACCTGGAGTTTATGCCTTTAGCATCATTTCCTCAACGGCCCGGACCAAGATTGACTAACCGGCGCGACATGGCCTCGTAGGTTTTTGAGAAACTTGCCATCCCTGGCATTCCAAAGTTTCTGCATGGCAAGTCAGTGTTTGTCCTAGGAGTCCGGAGTCGAGGAACTGACTGTGCTGTTATCCCAACCGGCGCTGGCGATGAGGGTTCCGTCGGGCGAAAACTGCACTTGATTGACCTTGTTCTGATGGCCCAGCAATCGTGCAACGGGTTTATTGCCGTTGTTAGTCGGGTCCCACAAGTACATGGTAAAGTCATCGCTCGCCGAAACGAGGCGTTCGGCCACCTTGCCCTGGATTTTGGCCGCCTTTTCAAACCTTTCCCTCGCCTTTGCCCTCTTGCCTTCCTCTGTATCGGGCACCTCCTTGGTATGGTCAAAATAGCCAGTCCGGAGGACGTGGTCGCTAGATAGCGCAAGATGGTTGACCCAGTGACCATGGGCAGTAAAATTGTGCACCAAGGTCCCCTTCACGGCGTCCCAAACTCTCACAGACTTGTCGTGCGACCCTGTGTAGATCATGCCGGTGCCTCCCCACCGCACACAGCTAACGGAGCCCTTGTGCCCGCTGAGGACGTGCTCGGTCCGCCCAGAGTTGACGACCCATATCCGGCACGTGCCGTCCTTGCTCGCACTTGCGAGACGGGCAGTGCCGTCACGCCAGACTGGTTCGCTTGGAATTAGCACAAGAGGCCTGCTTTCCGATTCAGGGAATAAGGGACTAACGGTGATAGGGCTCCCACGCTACAGCCAGCACCCACTTGGCGTGACCCTTGAAATCCTGCCCGAACGGTTTCCCAGTTTCTGGGTCCCATATCCTCACCGTCTTGTCCATGGAACAGGTTGCCAGGCGTTGACCGTCGGGGCTCCAACTGACGCCCAGAACCCAGCCAGTGTGCCCCTTCAATGTGTGCTTTGGGGTGCCCGAATCCGTATCCCAGATGCGTGCCGTATTGTCTCCACTACCGGTAGCCAGGCGACTAGACGATATAGGGGAGAACTGGCAAGCGAGTATTGGTTGACCGTGGCCTGGGATGCGGTGCGCTAGGCGCGAGACGGCTTGTACCTTAAAGACCGCTTGGGGTTCGGCGCTGAGAGTGATGGTGGTCCTATTCCGTCTGTTAGCCGCAGGGATGTAATATTGACGGAGGATCTGGGACGCACTCAAAGGGGTTGGTAACGCCGTGTTTTTGAAGCAGAGCCAGCAGATCCGTGGGGTACTGGTCTATAATAACGTCCTTGCCGGGGATATGGATGCGGAAGCGGTAGGGAGTGAAGTCCTCACGATCCTTGGGTCCACATGTAAGCACATAGACAAGAGGCCGATGAATACAGAAATGCATGAGCCTATACCCTTCCTAACAGAGTGTTTAGCAATGAGGATATGTTCTTCTCTGTGGCATCGGCGAAGTTTATCTCGATCACATCGGCCATTTGGTTGCCATCGCTGTCGACGAAATTGGCCTTGAACGACCCGAGGTCCGCGGACAAGAGCGGGGCGACATCCTGTTGCGTTTGGGTGCGCTCAATCTCCTCCCTTCTCTGTCGTTTCGACGGTGGTGGTAATACTGTCGCCATCTTTTGAATCTGGAACTTGGGCTCCGTATGTTATGGAGGCTTCGACAAGTTCACTAAGAAAGTGCCAATCCCAGCACGGTTGGAAATTTTGGCGGTGAGGGACTGCAGAATCCCCTCCAGGGCCCACATATTCGTACTCTGCTTCTACCGAGGAGCTGGTTGCAGATTCCCTTCTGTCGACAAACTCACTGCAGCCCAACACACCTTCCCTTTCCAATGTCAAATGGTTGGTGTTGTTCAGGCTATGCACAACTATAACAACCTGGAAATCATCAGGTTTGAAAAGTATTTACCCTGATCCATCTCAAACGGATCAACGTACGTACATACAACTACGCTCAGCATTTCGGCTTTTTCTCCCCGAGTCTCGCGGCACATGACTAGTACCTCTGTGAGCTCCTGCCCCGGTAGTGCTTCTTCTCATAATAGTCGTCGCTTTCATCGTCGCTATCAGAGGAATCATATCTCCTGCGCGATCGACCCCGGGACTCGTACCGGACCGAAGAACTCCGACTGACGCGTGATCTGGACGATGACGACGACGCGTCCGAGGAGGGCGAACGGGCGTATGTTGGCGGCTCGAGCGGGATGAACTGGTCTCGCGGAGCCCCAACCCTAGGGCGTCGATCCGGATAGTAGTCGAGATTGCCATGTTCGTGCGGCCGGTCAACGTACTGTGGACTTGCATACGAGAGCGAATGGCGCCGCCTTCTCGGCTCGTACGTCCTCGATCGTTCTTGCGGCGTCACTGGGGCGCCGTTTTCCACGATTCGCAGATGAGCCCGGATTCTTCGCATTGCAGACACTGCCGAATTCTTGTCAGAAGCTCCAGGATTTGCATACAGCCACCCGCCGAATACTCACTGTCCTTCTCGACCTTGGCTACCAGGAACCTCTCGTACCAGTGTTCGTACTCGGCTGTGCTCATGAGACCGTCATAGTACGCCTTCCGCATCTTGCGAAAGATGTATGGCGCCTCTTCTTCCAGCTCCCTTTCTTCCTTCTTCTTCTTCACCATGCGTTTGAGCTCCCAACTCGACTTGATCGACGTGACGATGCTGCCGCAGGCCGCTACGGTTGCTAGAACCGTTGGAACGGCCATAGCCATACGCGCGTTGGGCCCCTACACCGGGAGAGGAACTGTTCCGTACACGGAGATGTCTGTTGGTAACTTCTGACAGCTAACACAAAGGAGACGGACAAGCGCACTGAGGAAGCCACCGTGGGGGAAGCTCTAGAAATGGGCGCACTGCCATGCCCGTTGTGAAGGCCTGGGGAAGAAAGGGGTCGGCCTCCTCAGGGCCAGCCTGCATGCCATGTGACTTGTGAATCTCTCCTCCGGCGAGCGTTCTGTCTCCGGCCCAATCCTACTGGACAATTGCCGAGGCCATCAGTTTTGGCTTAAAACACAGCTCAAGCCCGGCCCGGCCCCGGCCCCGGCCCGGCCCCGCTATTCGGGACCGGCTTGGCAATCCTCCGCTCTGGGATCCATTCCCCACTTTTCTTTCGACATGTGGCTGGAGATGTGGCTTGCTTCGAATCGCCTTGGAGAGCACGCCTGGTGAGATAGAGACGATCGATTGTCGACATCGTTACCGTTACGCTGTTCCTAAAACTTTTCCAAAGAAGGGTACCTAAGCCCTGACTCGCCATAGTCTACCGTCACGGCTGCCAAGCTGCTCGTCTTGTCATTCCGTGCCGCCAACGGGCCTCACTTACCGTTGGTGTGAAGGCGCAGCATTGGGTTGCTTACACCGCATGAGTTCGCCTCGATATGGTTGGCAACCCCCACTCTAGTTCACTATCCCAACTCTGCGGTTCCGCTTTTGAGAGGCTGTGCCGCAGCCCTCCTACTGAAGCGTCCATGTCGGCCGACACCACGCAAAGGCCCTGAAACTGGGCTTGCTCGGTTCTGGGACAAGTTCTCGCTTGGTTCGAAACAAACCGGTACGGTACATAGTCAAAGGCCAGCTTGAACTCCTTCCGTCCCTGGTCTTTCCCTCTCAGAATACGGTACTTTGTACACTACCAGCTACCGGGACCGGACCTGGCCCTGCTCCGATATCCGACCCCTATTATCGCGGGTACGCCCCGCTCAGGTTATCGCCATTGCGCATCTGTTTCGAAACACCCTCGCATTCGCAGGCATTTCTCCGTTTTTTGGCCGGGCTTTGGTTTGGCACCCTCCTCGGGCCGTCGTCTATCAAGAGACCCAGTGGGACGCTGTCAGGATCATCAACGATCCACAAGCCTTTGCCGGTAAGCTGATTTCGGTCAGCTGAAGCTTTGTGCGCTACCCCTCATTTTGAGCTGCGGTGATCGTGGCCCGCAGAGCTGGCAGGTAACACGGTCTGCCACCAAACGTTCCCCAGACACCTTCGACTGTGGAAGGGCATAGGCTTCTCGCTTCACCATCATGAGAATTGAGTATGAAGTGGAGCCTGCGCCGCATTACCAGTATGTGCAATATTTTGTGTTCTGATTGGCAATGGGAAGCACATGTCAAGATGGGCAGAGACCTGAGGAACCAATGCTTGTTTGGATACTATTCACCTGTGTCGGCAGCGTCCCTTGAGCTTGTTGGCGTCCAAGCACTCCTTACTAATGCCGATCAGCACTCGACCGCCTCCACGGGTGTATCATGTCCGGTCAAGTCGCGGCCAGGTAATACACGTCAACGAGCCGCGGTCCCCGTCACCCTCGCCGACGCGCGTCGTTGTTGTGAAGAGGCGCGAGCGAGAAATAAGGATTGGGTTCTTGCCTTGGCTCTGCAGCGTATTATGCTGCTGCTGGGTATTCGAGGCTTGCGCTGAAGAATGCTCGTGGGCTTGCTGTCCGGCCGTGTACGATGACTCGGACTGATCTGGGTGGGATTCGCCGTCGACCGATTCGGCGGAAATGTGGCTTATGATTTGGGATGATTTGACGAACGAAACAATGATCGATACCCGGTTCGAGGACGTTTTATTTCTGGTTTGTTTGGATGCTAACCGGTTCTTTACCCTGTGAGATGACCAGTTTTTCGACTTTCCTTGCGCAGGGCTCAAGGGGGACTGCCTTAGCCGTGCGCATGAGGACATGGGGCAATGCGTATGTCATGGACTCATGGATCATCGGGCGACGAAGGTGGAACGCCCGAACTGATCAAGGGGTTCGCCATTCGACGTTAATACTAGTTTGCGACACGGTACGGAGTATATCCAAGAGATTTACTATGATACAGACGCCAGCAAGCTCATGATGCCGAGTCAAACTCGTCAATGACACTGGCGGGCTTCACAAACCTCCCCAATGGCGTGTATTCCAGGTGCCCCATATCAAACGCCTTCGGTCCTCCTAACTCCAGGCCCCTCTCCGAGCCAGTCCATTTGTCGGATGCCGTCAGACCGATGACAACGACTAGCAGCCCATATCTGTATTCCGGAGTCCCCACAGCCTCGCCGTTCTGCGCATCGACGACACAAATCAGGTCGGGGACAATTGCCAAGACATCTTGCTGCTTTTCCAGCTCTCCCTCCTGTACGTCCTCTGGAACCCTGATGGCCGCAATGTTCTCATTTTTGAACGGGATCTTGATCCGACCTCTGGACTGGCTAGCGGTGGTACCCCTTTCAGTCCTCGCGCTGTGATCCGGATCAGCCACATCGCCGCCTTCAATGATGCACTCCCCATAGACATGACCCTTCCTCAGTGTCCGCTCGACCCCGACGATCTTGCCCTTGAAGAGCACCTTCCCAGCTGCCGGTCCGCCACACTCTTCAATGATGGTTTCCGCCACGGTGTCCAAACGGTTCTTCTGCCTCGCTCTCTCCACAGCCCTCCCAATCCGCCACGCTTGCGAGAGGGTATTGTCAACAATCCACCGCTTCATCTCCGCGCCCGTTACGGGTGGATCCGCGGCCGCTACCTGCGAGCCCATCTCACTCAGGGCAGCGCGCATGATGCGCTCCACCTGATGATCGTCCGACGCCTTGGGCATAACCACGACGTTCCCGTTCCCATCGGCAATGCAGATCGGCGACCAAATCGGCTGGCGCTCGTTGAACACGACGGGCGTGGTCTGCCACTTGGTCGGATAGGCGCGGCCCATCCAGTCGCCGTCGACGCAGGGGATGTCCATGTTGGTGCTCGAGCCGAGCGTCATACCCTGCAACCCGTTGCCGCCCCCGACCTCGAGGGCGATGATATGGGTTGGGCGGTTCGGACAGATCTTGTACAGCTCCGTTTGGGCCTCCATCATCTCGTCGCCCTGTAGCTTTTCGATGGCGACGGTTGGGCTGCCGGCGCCGCCGCCGCATCCTACTGCGCCGTCGTCGGGCACGTCCTGCGGGCTGACGACGCGCACCACTGCGCCAGAGCGAAGCAGCTGCCGGAGGAGGAGCATGTGCGGGTATGGAGAGCCGCCGCCACCGGTGCCGAGCACGTAGCAGCCGGCTGAGATCCAGTTGAGGTCAGTCTCACTGATGTACCAGACCCTGTTGCGAACGTTGGGTAGGTAGGTGGCTGGGTCTACGGGTGCTTCAGGTTGCCTTTGCGGGATATCCTTTCTCGATTCAGGCCTCGTGACCAGGACGTGTTCTCCTTCAGCCTTAGGTTCTGCTTCGGATGTCTCTTCAAGACCAGTAGGCGTGTGACCTGTCCGTGACAAGTCAAAATCACCTACTGCCCGAACGACGAAGCGTGTCTTGTTCGCGATGTACTGTGGCAAGCCAGGTCAGCCTTCATCCATTTCAGATTTCGAACACAAGCGCACTTACTTGCAACGGCAATGTTTCCATCTCTACCACCTCCACGGTGTCCCTAGACGCACCTGCAGCAACACACTTTTCAATTGCTTCCCTACGAATCTTGTCAAGCAGTTGCTGCGTGGTTTGTCTCTCAGTAGACCTGATGGTATCAACCACCGCACTAACGCGGGCTATGGCCGCACCGATCGCGTTGGCAACCTGAGACCACTGCGGTTTGAGCACCTTACTCGCGCCTTTCAGCTCTTCTGGGGCGAGAATCGCGCCACCTCCCACGAGCACGACAGGCAAGTCAACAGGAGAAGTCTTCATAGTATCCCCAATTCGCTCGAGCTTATGTTTGACGAGGGCTTTGAACTGTGCCAGCTCATCTTCTGTCAGTATCCCCTTGACAAGATCAGGGTTGCCGATTTTGAGATCTGGGTTCGCGCACACGGCGCAATCTGTGGCTGTTAGAGTACTACCCCCGAAGACGATGGATTCCTCGGTCAGTCTGTTGCCGACACTGTCAGGCCCGATTGTCATTGGAGGTCCCTTTCTGACAATCGAGCCGCCGCCCAGGCCGATGCTCTTGATATCAGGACACGAGAAGTTCTGACGAGGCTGAGTATTAGCAAGAAGCTGCCCAGACAGGAGCGTGCATCCGCCCTACCATCCTCACGCCAGCCAGCTCGCTGTAAGCAGCTTGCTGTCTGGGGAATCCGTTTGGCTGCAACAATCCCACATCGGTCGTTGTCCCGCCAATATCAACCACCATCATAGCCTCCCCTTCCTTACCCTCTTTTCGTTCTCGAGCCTGTCCCTGAACAAGAAACGCCGCTCCGCGCATACTGTTCGTTGGACCGCTCGAAAACGTCCGTATGGGCAGTTTAGCGGCCATCTCGCCCGACAGAACCGTGCCATCATTCTGCGCCACGAACACCGGACACGTCATACCCAGGTCTCTTACGGGCTTCTCAAAGGCCTTGATCGTGCGCCTCGCAAAGGCCAGGATAGCCGCATTCAGAATCGCCGCATTCTCCCGCTCCAAAAACCCCAAGTTAGCCACCTCCCTGGAGCAAACCACATCCGCCCCAGGCACTTCCCGCTCCACGATGCTCTTGACCCGCTCCTCCTGACATTCAACCGCATCAATGGGACTAAAAACCCCATTCACCACGACGCTCCTGATCCCCCTCGCTTTGATCTCTTCACACGCGCGGCGTACCTCGTCCTCGTCCACCTGCGCGATAAGCCGCCCGTCCACCTCCAACCCTCCCTTCAACAGCGCGTAGTAGCCGAGCACGATGTCCCTCAAATCGTCGGGCCAGTCGACGCAGGGCGGCGTATGCTTGCTGAAGGGCCCGCACAGGCGCAGCACAGCGACGCGCGACAGGCGGGTCGCGTCGCGCTCGACGACGGCGTTGACAAAGTGCGTCGTGCCGATGGTCACGCTGGCGATGTCGTGCGGGGAGACTTGAAGCTGGGAGGAGCATGAGGCGAGCATAGCCCGGATGGTGCTGGCGATGCCCGCGCTCGGGTCAGGGTCGGTGGTGGTTGTCGTCTTGTGCCAGGCTAGAATGTTACCCTTGGTGTGCGTGTCCTCCTGAGGAAGGGAAGAGGGGTTGAGGTCGAGGATCACGCCGTCTGTGTTGGTCCCGCCTACGTCGACGCCGATGCGGAGAGTTTGGGGCGACATGGTGCGATTCTTTTTCACTGTGTGCAATTCTTTGGGATAGACAAGGGAAAGGTGGCGTTGTGGTGCCTAGTGTTGTGATAGTACTTTACGTTGCTCTTGCAAGGTTGAGGTCGGGGAGGAGTCGTATCCACTGCAGTTACTGCAGTACAGTTGAACCTGCACACGATGACTCCCTTCAGGTTGCCAGACAGCTGTTTGGTTCATTCAAGGATGAGACCGTCAAGCTGAAATCTGCAGTAACACCCGAACTAGGGGAAATGTGAGCTTCATATCCAGCCGGAGAGTAGCAACCGGTAATGTACCTAGGGAAGTGGGGAACTTGCGAGCGTTGATGAATGGGCCGCCGTTGTCGGAGCTTCGTCCACCACATGTCATGTACCTTGTTGGTTACATAAGAGGTACCTGTACCCAGAGCTCGCCATATGTAGGGTTGGTAAGCTCTAACTCATGATAGTAGTCTCGACAAGAAAGCAACTGCAGCTGTCTCTTGTGTTCTTGAACAAATCCATGAAGGAAGCCTTTTAGCTTTTTGGTTTAAGTGTTTGGGATCCTCAACCCATTCCAGACCACGAAAGTAACTTAGCACTGAAGTCTCAGCATTGAGATCTTGAATAAGACACCCAGCATTGGCTTGAAAAGACAGGAACATGATGGCTTCAAAGTGAAACCCTCTGCCAGCACAGAACTGCGCCAGTAAAGCCCTTTGGGTTGAGGGCGGCACGTTTGAGCCGATTCGAGTCATGATGCTAAGTGGTGATTGTCCGACAGAGCTAGAGAGTAAAGCCGTTCCAACTACTAGTATAACGTATAAACCCCTTGCCTACAAGTCCAGCTCCTTCAACCTACCTACCAGTACTTACGCACATATCAGTACATGATCATGGCTTAGCACATGACCTTACCTGAGCAGGTCTACATCCAGTGGCCATTTTCAAGGTATATAAACCACATCCCACAACTTTGCAGCCAGTCTGTAGTCTGCACTCGTTTCGTCCCCGTCGACAAACGACATTCACTCCATATCGGCATCTCTCAATACCACTTGATCTCCCAGCAGCGGGCTCTTCAACATTAAACAATGAGGCTGGCCATGCTTTTCCCTGTGTTCCTATACCAGCTTCACCTGGCTGCTGCTTCGCGTCTGGCCGAATCCATGTCCATGTCAACTCCCGCCGCTGTTGTGACGCTAGAGACAGCGTCTCCAAGGATGGAAGAAAGTCAACCTCTAATCAATCAGAACATGTCTGCGGTCTCAGAAAACAGACAACGGCACGAGAGACGAGAGGACGAAGAGAACGAGAGGGGCCCGACACTCACACGACCAACACAACCGCCGATCGTTTCCGATCGTGCACGATACTGGCACATTCACCGTGACGCGGCCGATGACTATAATGGAGTTGACTTCCCCGAGATCATATCAGTCCGCACTGAAGATCAAATGTCAGGACTATCTGAAGATTACCAACCAACGGATACTACTATTAGGAACGAACCCCATCCAGCTGTAACCGTTCTTGTTGTATTCTTAATGCTTGTGGCCGGGATTGTCGTTGCAGCAGCAATCTTCGGTTTGGTTTCATTCATGGTTAGGCTTTGGCGCACGCGCTGCCCGTGATTACACGCCACTTCCGTTGCTCTTTTGTACGGACGTGCTTGGGCTCATGGTATTAGGGGCATTTCGCACAAGCAAGGGGAAGGAGAGGGAGGGGGAAAGCGTACAATGAAGTGAAACTTGAATCTTTTAAGTATTGAGGGAAGGTGCAGCGTACATGTAGAACCCGAGGGTGTTGTGGAGCAACGAGTCGGAAAAAGGGGGTTTTGCTAAAGGAATGGTTGGAGAAAGAGCTAGCACCTCAAGGAGATACTAGTACTACTACTACCTAGTGCAATGATTTAACATGTCTTTGGTTTAGTCTTTGATAGCGACTTCGGGGTCACTGCAGCACGGGTACATTCTTATATTCATTTACAGGTGTTCAGTTTCATATGACAGATATGATTGTCGTCATTGTGCAATGCATGGAGGAAGATCAACGTGTACTCACAGCATCTGGCATGTAACATATAGCGGTACTTGATACTAGATACCACGCTGAGTCACTTGCCGTTTCGTGCGGTTGTAGGAGCAGTATGCATATTGGTTGTAGGGTCTTAGAATCCTGTTGTAGGGGACTGCAAGGCAGGGGCTTGGCCAGCTGGACTATTCAATAGTAATAATAAGAAGACCACGAGTGGCTTAGCCTCTGTTCAGCACAATTGACAGTCAGCCTGCTGTACTACTTGTGGCGTGTGCTCATAGGGTTAAGGGACCTGAGGGTGTAGCCCCCCGATGTGAAGAGTCCATTTAGTTTCCTATTCGAACTCGTCCAAGGCGATGAACTTGGGCGGACGTTGGAGTGGGTGGAAGATCCTTAGTGAAGATATAACACACCGCCCTGAACGACATGGGCACGGGCACAGCAAGTCGTGAAAAATCGACGGTAGCTTATCAATTCTAATCCGTCTTTTTCTTGATGGTCAACTCTCCCGTGAGCTTTGTGCCATCCGCAGTAGCTACCCACGGTGTGCCTTTAATCTCAGGAAGGCATTTGCCCGTGTGCCTTACCCGGCCGTCGTAACCAGACTGCTGCCGGATCCGAGGGACAAGCGCCATCAGGTCGCTGCCGTCCAGCAGACCCGCCATGGCAAGCAAGCCCTCGGGCTCTTCGGTCAGGATCGACTTTGTGCTCTGCACACGCCAAAACACCCACCCGCTGAGGAACAAGGCCACCAGCAAAAGAGCCAGAACGGCATAAGCGGCCCACTCAACAACGACAAACAGTCTTATGGTCGGCGTCCACATGGTTCCCACGCCCGTCTCGGCCACCTCAAGCGGGGTAAACATGGCCATGGCGGTGGCGACGGCATAAGTAGCACCAAAGACACGCGCAATGGCCTGCATGAGCACCGGCGGGGAGAGCAGGTTCTCTCTGCCAGCCTGCTTCTCGGCGACGTACAAGATGTTGTTGCCAAACTCGGACGACAACCACTGTATGCCCGGGTTAAAGACGTCTATCTCGAGCATTCTCGTCTCCATCACCATCCAAGGCGTGTCGTGCCGGCTGGAAGAGTTATTGTCCGTCAGCGGTGTGAAGGAGTGGAAAACGGTGGTCGGCGGGCCGGGGGCGCCTGACGTCAGGGAGGAAGGGGGCCAGGAGACGGCTACCTCGAGGAGTCCGGCAATGGTGCGATAGTCGGTGGCGCACGAAATGACACTGACGTTAGAGAGCAGGTACGGGCTCGTCGGAGAGTAAGTTCCCGCTGTGAAGATGAGTCGACTGTAGTGTGCTGCATGGGAGCAGGCACGCTGAGCGCTTGTCTTGAAGAAGATGAGGTCAGGGGGCCCCTCCACCACCGCAACCCCGTGCGAGAAATCGCAGCCCCTGTCTGTCCCCTTGACTTGAACCACGCCCTTTCCTGGTTCGACCAGCTCAAGTGACATGGTGTAGTCGGAGACGAGTTCGCAGTTGACATAGGCCGAATACGCCGTTGTGTTGGCGACTAAATGGTACTCTCCTGTGCGAGGGGCAAGCGGGGAGTGGAAAGGGCGGAAAGCAAACTCGTCGTTGGTCCACGGGTGTCTGTTTTCGTTATTCACCAGCGCTAACCGAGCGCTGCTCAGTGCCGGTCTCATGTCAAACTTGTCTGAAAATGCGGAAAAGTTGTACGCCGAATTGAAGGAGATGGGAATATCGGCCGGCATCATGATAACCCGTGTGGCAAACAGGCGAGCGCCCAAGGGCGCAGAAATGTATTGTAGAGCGAGGCCGGTCATGGCCGTAAGTCCGACAGTGGTATGTCCCAGCCGGAAGGCCCGCCACCACCTCCAAAGGGAGGGTGTGCAGCGATAGTCGAGCAAGACAGAGCTCGCAGCTGCGGCCGCCCTGCCGTGTAAAAGGTCCACATATGGCTGTCGAGAAGCCAGCGAGCCGGCAATCCACTGCCAGTAAATGTTGAGCAGCTGTAACACGACGCTGGGTAGGAAGGTCCAGAGAATGCCCAGGTCTAGTGAGATATTAGGCAGTCTTATACCCCGCTCGTCTTCGTCGTCTTGCTCGGTACCGTTCGCCATCTGTTGGTCTGGAATCGTGACGAAACCACTATCCCTCAGTGATCTCGTGACTAGAGCTATAAGGGTGACCATGATAGAGAGGTCAAACAGGGCGAAGAGGACGAGACAGGGCCATCTCAAGGCCTCAGACCGCCATTCCCGCACTGGAACTTTGTCGTCTGCCTCCTTCTCGGCCGGTGTTTCCGGCCTTGGAGATCTCGAATCGATCGTTGTGATCCCTATTCCTCCAGATTCCATTTCGAAAGGCGTGAACCTTTGGTGACAATGGATGGTAGCTGGGTGCCGAATCTCCATGATAAGGACGCAACCAACAGGTTGACGTTGATCTAAGATGCGACGGTTCCGCTCCGTCTCCCTGTCGCCCAGGCACAGCTGAGGGCCAGTGGAGGCATTGCTGGAGCTTGCCGTCGCCCAGTTTAGCTAGCAGCAATAGTTGGGCCGCCACCTCGACAGCCAAACAGTTCAGCCTCAAAGACAAACGAACCCCTGGCGTTGTGGTCCTGAGCTTTGAAAACCTCTAACTACCGAGGCAGGGCATATCGAGTGTTTGGACTCAGAATCGTTTCCAGTGACCGCTCCTTCGTGAGTCAGCACACAAGACAGTCGCCTCGTCCACGTTATTCGCCATGAAGTGCCCTTCTACTAGGACTACCCGTAGGATATTTGCGGCTCTCACCGTCATCCTCTTGCCTATAGTCATTGTGGAACACATTGCTCTGGGAGTTCGAGCACGTTCGGAGTGCGACCGCGATGACTGCCAACGGCTGCTTGACCTTCTGACCGAATGCAAGCAGCATGTGGACGCTGGTAACAAGCCGGAGGTGATCAAGTGTTTCTGCAGTCAAGAAATGTTGAATGCCTATGTCTAGTCAGTCCACTTTTACCCCAATGCTTCCAATCAATCGTTGTTCAGACTGACATGGCAATGTCCCAACAAGCTGCAAGGGGGAATCCCGCGAGTGTTTGCAGGGCTACCAGATGGATGGCCACTATGACGATGACATCGAGACGTGGCACAACAAGTGCCAACAGTATTTGACATTCACCCCGACCACCCCAGTGCTCACGTCGCTCGCGTACACCAGGGACTCGGACAAATGCATGTCGGCCTATGACGCCTGTCTCCAACGAGATGCGGGCGTCAAGTCGTGCGACCATCTGTACAGCTCCCGCAAAAACATCACCGAGGCCGTAGTCTGTCTATGCCGGCCCTCCCAGATTGCGATGGCATCGCGATGCTATCTCGACAGGACAAACTGCGGTGCTACCTGGACGACAGTCAACATCTCCACCGTGGACGAGTTTGAGCGTTGTCGGCCGACTGAGTGGTTAACCTATGGGCAGACGGTAAGCCTTCAATCTAGACTTTTGCCTGACTGTAATCCCGATATCATAACCTTGTGGCGGCTGCTAACAGTGGCTCTTAGACTGCGATAGGTGACAACAAGACAGTCACCAGTTTCTATTCTCCATCTCCGTCGACTCGGCCAACACCCCCCACCATCACTTTCGGGCCTGCCATAACGCCTACCCAGACTCAGTCAGCCGCAAACCAAGTGTGTGTCGTTGTCTTGTGGGCGCTGATGGCGCCATCCTTATTAGTGGGAGGCCATTTCATGTGAGGTACCAAACTGGACGGCAATCGATCGGGGCCGGCGCCAGTTCGGTGCGGTACGACAATGGTTTCCGATTACGACGGCGGGTTGACATCTCTCGTAGCCATGTTCGCAAAGCGCATCGAGGTGCTTGGTACAGATGCCAATCGTATCTCCGGGAGTTTGAAGCACTTTTGGGTTATGGAGAGCTTTGGAAGTTTGGATGGTGAATCCAGAGCTCTATGGTGCAGGCCTCCGCTGACCACTGGTGCCTGACAATTAGCGCGAACCTTGGTCGGGTCTTGTGCCCAGCACCCTTGGCGCCCCACCTGCGGGTTCAATCGGCAGCTAAAATTTAGCGCGAGTACGGAGGTACCTTGCACACTGCAGCACTTTGTTCCACCAATGACTGCATGAATGCGATTTCGTACTGTTAGAAACGTGAAGTATCTGTACCCCGGCCTCCAGGAGATGTTACGAGTACCTACTACAAGCAGTATGTGTCACAAGGAAACGTATTCAAGGCAGCTGCTTCTTAAGTGCTGTACATTGTTCGTGCAAGCACTGGCGCATCTGAGGCTGAACTTCAGCTGAAGAGAATCTGAAGTTGAGATTCTCAACTTCAGAGAGCAGTTGCAGCGATCCATAACACCCATGTCATGAGCATTAGCATTGGTATTAGGAAGGACTCGGAGATAGCGGTATGAAACAGTGGCGCAGCAAGCACACCATGTCTGCTCTCCAGGTGTTATATGATGCATCATGCATCAAGAACAGCATCATCCTCACATCAGAAGTTCACCACCGCCGTCCTTGAATTACCTGGCAATGACCCGGCCGTTAAAGGGGTTATGCGTTATGATATGCCCCTACGCAATAATCTTCTCAGCGACCTTTCCATCGTCGGTTATAATGACCTTGTCGACCTTCAGAGACGCCTTGACCGGATTGGGCTGGTTGTAGACCCACTCGAGCTGCTCGAGTGTACGGCCCTGCGACTCGACGCTGCGGGCACGCAAAGTTAGCTTCTGCCCAAACAGATTGATATACTGAGAATACAACATACCCAAAGAAGTACCACGCCAGCGCCTCGATGCTAATCAACAGTATCAGCCAGATAGTTCTTATCGGAGAGCAGGGTTCGGAAGGCATTGCTTTGCTCTGGGCTCCTGAAAGATTCGTAGTGTTGGAATGACATACCAATCCCAACCGACAAACACAAAGATGTACCGGTATTGGATGTTCTCTAGGGCAATGGGCCCAGCAAATTGGTTGACGAAGCCCAGGGCGTTAACAATGAAGCCAGAGAGGGCGAGACCCTTGGCACGAGTGGTCGTCTCGAGTGCTTCGGTGGGAATTACACCCTGTAGCGGCGTGTAGGTGAAAGAGAAGATGATGTTGAAGAGGAAATAGGAAGCCAGCGCGGCCTGACCATAAGAAATATTAATACCCCCGCCATCTCTTTGCTGCTGGTCGAGAGCAGCCGAGAGACCCGAGTTCAAGGCGAGCGCGACGGCACAGGCAAATGTTCCGATCACGAGAACTTTGCGGCGAGGCATTCGGTCCGTGAGGGAGACGGCCGTCAGGGCGCCGATGGCGGACAGAGCTTGGTTGAGAATGTTGTATCCGAGTTGCTGCGGTACGCTTGTGACACCGAGGCCCTTGAAGATGGCAGTATTGAAGTAACCCAAGCCGTTGCCCGAGAACTGGCCAAAGACGGAGATCATAATCACCTGGGCGAAGCGCCAGCGAGAGCTGTGCGACAAAAGGAATGGGCGGTAGTCCCACCAGGTCTTGTCGATTCCATCTTGTCTGATGCCCTCCCGCATCTCGTCAACCTCGAGCTTGACGAGCTTGGAGTTGGGGTCGCCATTTCCATGGTATTTGACGAGGAAAGCAATGGCCTCTTCCTCACGGCCGTTGGCCATGAGGAAACGCGGTGACTCTGGTATGAAGAAGACGGCGCCTATGACGATGACGCAGGCAAAGGACTGGAGAATCAGGGGGATACGCCAGGAGAAGTCATTGCCCATGTAGTTTGTGCCGAATGTGACAAAGGCCGCAGGGATGGCACCACCGAACCAACCGCAGTTGTAGAAGCCTGGCGATAATAGCGTGGTCAACAATCCTCCCAGTTCTCCTGAAAATGGAAGGGCGCCTACCTGTGCAACGGCCTCGCCAGTGTGGCGGAGCGATCTCGATGGCATAGGCAGGGGCGCCGACGGTCAAAATGGCCACACCAAAGCCGAGAACAAAACGGCCGACGACGAATTGAGCGAGGACGGACGCCGTGGACACGATGACCATACCGATATTGATTACGATAGCGCCGATAAACATGGCCTTCCTGCGCCCGTAGTTATCGGAGAGCACAGCGGCAAATGGAGCGCCAACCATGGCGCCGCTACAAGAACAAATCTCGTTAATATATCGTGTAGGCGCGGTCGCTACAAAACGTGATCTTGGGATGACATACACAGGGTACAACGAGAAGATTGTAGCGGCAGTCGGTCCAGTGTCGGTAGTGTTAAACATGACCTGGAAGGGCTTCATAGCAATGATCGATGTCATGAGAGATCCATCGTACCCGTTGGCACAGGCGCTGTAACTGGGATCAGCATGCTTGTAATTGAGACTGCTGAAATGGACGGATTATGGACGAGGCACATACCATAGGAAGGCAACGAAGATCGAGACTGCATCAGTAGGGTCAGTCTTGGTTGTCTCGCCCCCTTCTGCTCAGAAAGCAACAGTCTGGCTCACAGTAGAGGTGGAACGACTCCTTGCTTCGGGGGTTGATGTTGGACTCTTTGATGGCGGCGTACAGCTCGGCCTGGTTGCCACGCCATTGATATCAGTGCTTGGTTACTAGACGGTGGGAGCTTTCCAGGAATGTTGGGTAAGACGTACGTTGTGCACCTTCTTCTCTTTGGCACCCTTTATCTTGGCCAACTCATCGAGGCCGGTACCGTGTGTTGATACGACACCGGGCTGCTCGGTGGCAACCTCGATGCCGTGTGAAGCCTGCTTCTCGCTGCTGATTTCAGGGGACGACATGTTTGCGCTGGCTCAGGACGAAGCAGGTTTGGGCATAGGAGGGAGTGTTGCGACTGATGCACCCCGAGATCGACCGACATATATACACATTATGCCGAGAGGGCCCAGAACATGGGAAAGTCTCTTCATACCTCTTTCCAGTATGCAGTGATACCAAGTCTGTAAGTACTGTGGATGGCTTCCCCAATTTCCGATTTAGGAAACGGACGGCCCCCCTCCGAGGTCCCAAACGGGTTGCGAGGAGCGTGCAACGCCCGCGCAGCATCGTGATTGACCAAAAATTCTCCGACTGTTTGGATCTAATGTTTTTTTGCGTTAACTCGCTTGTTCCCCTCGACAGACAGAACCGTTATTCGCCAGAAAGATCATGGTCTATGGCATGGATCGTGATGCGAACGGTCAAAACCGCGAGATGTAACGGCCGTACGGGCCTGGGTTCCTGTGCTGGCATTAGCCCAATCATTCAATGGATTTCATCATGAGTTCAAGCCTTTCCCACAGGTTCCCCGAGGACTGGGACAGCTTCGGCTCCGCAAACTCGGGTACTACCTGTCTCCACGAACAGGTGGCCCGCAGCCAATGTACTGTTGCCTCCGCGGGCCGCCCACGTTTCCACTCATGCTCATGTGTGGACTATCATTTGCGGCTTGCCTAGACCTGCTGATGAGTGCGGGATGGATAGTCGGATTATTGTTGCACCTCGCCTAGCACTGCACGCTTTGGGCCCTGGAGTCGCAGACTCGCTCGCACTTATTCCACCGTCGCCCCATCTGCCAAGCAGGCCGTATTTCGTCTTGTTGGAATCCGAGGAATCCGAACTCTTCAAGATTGGAAACGGCCAAACCTGATTCAGAAGTGTCCCGCTGCAGTCCGGGGAATGTCGCTCAGCGCTTCCGTGGAGTCGGGCCGCGAGGGCCTCGGCATGCAGCGTTAACGCTGTTAAGTATCAGAATAAATCAGATCATGCTCCACAAATCGCCAAATCCATACCTTGAGGCGGCTCGGGGATGCTACCATGACGGTCCTGTCAGAAAATTGGCCCAGTCCGTCTTTTGATCAAGAGATTAGTATCCGCATTCATAGTACCGGTATGCCTGTTACATGTGCCTGCGAAGCAACATGATGGCCGAGGGGATGCTTTATAGGATCCAGGTAAAAGCTACAGTAGGTAAAAGTGCGTTCGAAGTTTTGAACACGCAGTGAAGTTGTGAACAGGCAGCCACAGCACCACTGGTAGCGCCACTGATTAACCAATCAGGTGTCCGGAATGCGAATTCTTTGTGGGAAGCTGCAGCTGGATTGGTGGCTCGAGGGTGGCTAACGTCAACGTCAATTTTGGGCAGTTTGTCGTGTGCATGGGGCCAGACCTCGGCAGCTCGGCTTGGCCTAGAGTCTCTACACTTTGTACTCAGCCAGCGACACCTAACATCTGTCTCGAGTTTTGTGTTGACCGTGCTCAAGTTAGTTCTGTTGAAGGGTTGTCAGGCTCGGATATAGATGGAATGAATGTTAACTCATCATGAGGCGTTAGCGAAGAACTCATAGGAAACTTTCGACATCAAGAATGGTTGGTCACTAAGCCATTGTCTGCTGAAAAGGCGGGAGTGAACGGCTCACCATAGAGGTAGAACTGAAAGGCGGGATGGGCCATGGTTGTTGAAAAGTCTTGAAGACAAATAAAGACCTAGGTCCTTGGCTGGTTTACCATGGATCTCATGTCACATATTCTGGCCATGATGCCATCAATATAGTTTGTCTCAGAATCTCAGACTTTGAAATCAGGTCTCCTGGCATCACTGATTGTTGCCCGCTCCTATAATGCCGTGACAACGTAAAAACTCGAACCAAAAGGAACCAGACAGAGCTGCAGACATTAGTCTAGTGCTCGCCTCTGATAGCGCATTCGTATCCTGTAAAATGCCAAACCCAAAACCCAAAGCCCGGCTAGTACAAACGTCTGCTGGGGGGCAAACACGGCTCCCCGGACGACAACGAACCCACTGACCAGAGCGAAGATGATCGGTATTAGGACAGATGGTTTGTACGGCCTCTCAAGCTCGGGTTCACGGTACCGCAGCACTATCGCTCCGAGGACCGTCAGGAAGAAAAACGTGTACTCCCCCAGGCCGTTGAATGTCAAAAGTGCGCGGAAGTTCCCGAGTAAGATATAGACTGCTGAGAGTATCGTAGATAGAATGATGGCGTTGATAGGGGCATCCGACCCACTAGTTTCCTGAGCGTCAAGAGATACCGGCAAGCCGCGGTCTGGTTGGTATCCGACACGGCCGAGGACACTAAGCGGGCTTGGAAGCCAATTCTGGTTTGCTGCAGCAACGGCCATGCGGCCAGCGACGAAAGAATTGCCGAGTAATGAGCCCGCAACGACCAGGCAAATGAGGACGGCGGCAACAATCCCAAAGGCTTGGCCGAGGAGGCGAGTGATAGCAGTCTGGATGTAGGAGTCAGCAACTCACGGGGCTAAATGCTGGCTCAAGCCGCCCACTCACCACGGCCACGCTGTCCGTGGTGGATACGACATCCCAGGGCAGCAGAATGTAGTAGGCTGCGTTGGCCGTTATGAAGCAGAGAATGATGGTAGGGATGGAGGTGTTGATGGCTAGGGGAAGCTGACGGGCAGGCGCCGAAAGTTCTGCTGAGACGTAAATGGCCTAGACGGCTGTTAGTCCCTATCTGGACTTGAACTACTGCCGTACCAACCTTGTCCCATCCGGAATATGCCCACAGTGCCGCATACAGGGCAGCCGACAAGTGACCAAGAATCACCCACTGACCCATCCCGTCCCAATGGGTAATGCTCCCATCGGGGTTGACGCTCTCCCTGTACCCAAACCATGGCTTTCTGCTCCAGTCGCCGCCGCCAATGACTCTGTCTGTATCGGCGAGTTGAAGGGCAATGACTACAACGCCCGCCAAGACAATCGCGGCGATGGTGACGAACTTGGAGACCACGAAGAAGCTATTCAAGCGCGTGCTAGCTTTGGTGCTGATCGAGTTCGCCATACCAATGCACGTCAGCACGAGAACTGAGAGCAGCTTGTGTTCGATCTTGTCGCCTTGGCCTGTCACACCCGCGGCGGAGTAGATGCTCTCAATGAAGACGATGCTCAATATCGCCAGCGTGGCTGGCATCACGGCCACTACCCAGGTCCAAGCAGCCAGGAAGCCGAACACGTCCCCGAACATGTACTTGAGATAAGGTTGTACTCCGCCTGCCTATCGTTAGCCATCCCAGCCGTTCAATAGTCACGTACGCAGGTCGTACTAACTAACCTTCCCCTGGTATTGCCGTCCCCAGTTCTGCCATGGTGCTTGCCCCTGTCCAGGCCAGCACGCCGCCCACGAACCAGACGAGCAGCGCCGCGCCTGGCGATGGCACGTTGGTGTCGATCGACCCGGGCGAGGTAAACACACCGCTGCCGATCACGATGCTTATGACGATGGCAAATGCCTCGACCGCGCCAAGGTTGCGCGTAAAGGTCCCCGCCCCTGCGCCCAGCTTGATGCTTTCCTCGTCGTCACGTTGACCAGCGCGATGCCCACCCTCGCTCGCAGCCTGATATTCCTCACGGCTTAATTGTTCTCCAGTTGTGCCGCCAGGCAAGAGCGGCCTCCTCTCGGCCTCGGCAGCAGTAGCATCAACGACGGTAGCGGCGGCATATTGGCCATTGCGATCAGCTGCCATACTGGGATTGATTCAGTTATTCACCGCTTCTGTGCGCACCCGTTACTTCCATCAGCGGAGGGCTGCCAGTCAGGTAAGGCAGGTATGCAATGATTGCGAGGTTGTGCAGAGCGACGGAAAGTGTTTCTCGGCCAGGCGGGGATCGGCCGTGCTGGAATTAGCCTGAAGACGCGATAGAGTGCAGTACCCACCCGGGTATGGCGTAATGTCATGCAACCGTGCGATGTTTTGCAAACATTGTGAAGAGACAGCGGGAGATTGGCTGATAGGGTAGGAGCGCTGCACGTTCGAATTGGATAAGTAAGGTAGGTATCGACGCTGTGTATGCAAAATATGCGATACACCGGCAATGTTCAAAAAACATAACCCCTTACATCCGGGGATCATACCTGGATTTCCAGGACCACCATCGCCAACGGCGAGACTCGAACTCGCAACATTCAGATTAAAAGTCTGACGCGCTAACCAATTGCGCCACGCCGGCTTAGCTTGATCAGGGTCGATCCGATTGGCTGCGTGTTCTGAGCAAGTACATATTTAATCCCTACAACGCCTGTCATCGTGCCTGTTGCACCACGTTGCGAAATTATCCCGGAGGTCAATGGCCGACTCGGCCGCAACGGTGGTGTAGGTAAACGACGGAAGCTGGTCGGGAGGGGGAGCGAAGGAGCGAGGGCAAGGGGTAAAGGCATGACATCAGCATCGCCAAACTCGACTGGGTACGCAATCTCATCATTCTCATGCCAGAGCCTGATGCACAGGCGGTGAGGCTGCCCTGACAGGTCAGCGCCGCGATAACTCGTCAGCCCGTGCCCCTCGTTGGCCTTGGCATTCCACGCAAGGCGCAGCTGCACCTCCTGACGTCAGTCAGGCGGAATCATGCATTTCAGCTCACCCTCGCTAGGCCTGGGACCTGAAGAGTGGCCCCCTTGATTCCCCAGAACACCCAGCGGTGAAAATGGGGTTGCGCTAGCCCAGACAAGAGCCGGCAGTTTCACAATATCCTGTCCTGCATATCCGCCGGAACACCGGGTCGGCCTGGCAGATAGAGCAGATAGTGCAGTATTTTTTTGCTTGGCATTTTTCTGGCTCTCGAAAACCCAAAGGTACCCTATTTAACACAGTCATCTGGCGAATGTGGAAGTGCTCCGACGTCAAGGACGGCAAAGGCGCTCGGTTTTCCCTCCCGTTGAGAAAGAAGAGGACATAAAACACTCCTCCCGCCAACGCCAATCATGTAGTAACAACCGAATGCTAGGCCTCCCAAATTCCCGGTAGCCTGTTGTCGATTCTCCAGTGCATCCCTTGACCTGATGACGGACGTGTCCCCTGTGGTGAACTTTTCCCCCTTCCCCTAAACCGCCGAAAGCAGCCGCGCAAATGGTATAGCCCCTTCTCGCCCAGTATGCAGAAATGCGCGCAATAAACTCCGGTCCTGTAGTAATCCCCATGCTACTATAACAAGTCAAAAATGTGTCGGCGTTTGCCCTTCGAAAGAAGCCTACGCTGATGACAAGAGCGGACCTCGGTCGAGTCCAAAGCCCAGTCGGTTTGGTACTCAGCGATGGTGATGAAGTCCTCGGTGCTCAGACCACCCTCCTGAGTGAATCTGGTCAGAGCGCTTGGCGGAAAACAATATTCGTTGGAGTAATTGACTCCCGTCGCGTTGCCGTATCCTCGCTGGTGCCGCTGGTGACAACCGTAAATGATACACTCGAAATCGCTGCTAGCTCCTCCCGTCGGTTTCGATGCCGCGTGAACTTTCACCTCAGTTAACCATCATCCCCAGCATTTGTCGATGGCGTCATTTCTTAGACCGACTGCTCGATGCCGTGATCTTGCTCGTCGTCATTAGGTCTCCGATGTACTTTTGCAGGAATTTATTATGACTATCGAGCTTATCGTGCTCCTCCTTGACAGCCTCTATCCGGTTGAAGAGGTTAATGAGGGATTCTTGGAGCGCCTTAGCATGCCTACTATGCTGTTAGCGGCTAATTTGTCCCTCTCTGCCTCCTCCCTTCCTGTGGGCTTGGGCGGGGACTTGGACTCGAACTCACCGTTGCAGCTCCTCTCTCGCCTCCTTGCTGAGATTTACGAGGTCTTCGCTCGTTCTCCTCGGACTCATGGCCCTCACATCACCTGGTGGTACCTGTACATCTACGGGCCCAACGGCCGAAGACTCGCGAGGCACGATCATGGTGCCGCTGCTCTTCCGACTCGAGAGCTGCGGCCGCTGCGGAACGGGCGCGTGGATAGTAAGTTCGCCTTCCGCGCCAGACGACGAGTCCGACCAGTCTGGGCTTGTCCCTTTCTGCGGACTGGCGTCTCCCATGGTGAATTAAGGCGTCGCGTGTCGCGTAGGATGGCGAAGGCGCGGGGGCGGAGGATTGGCAGTCGATTAGGGTTGCGAATGAGTACGTAGGGATACTCGAAAAACAGGAAACGAATTCGCAGATATCATGGACATGCAACAACCAATCGCTCTTCCAACACCTTTAACCAAGCCAGACAATTGTTTCCACCATTCGTCGAACAGAGTGGCGTAGATGCCCGGCGCGTCGGTGTCCTCGGATCGCTCGAAGGGAGGAGAGGGGATGGTTCGGGCTGGTGTGGAAGAGGGCGGTGATCGAGTCACGGACTCCCTCGAAGAAGCGTGCAGCTTAGCGCGAAAGACAACTCAGCAGCTAGCGGGTTGGCCGGGGCGGCAGTGGACTGCAGACGCTTGTGGAGTCGTAGGTGCTGCCGATGGAGTCGTGGGCCTTGCTGGGAAAGAGGAAAGCTAAGGTAGTGCGTCGTGACTTGCGAGGGTGAGGTGCTACCGTTGGCGGTAATGGTGCAGAAAGTACAAAAGGCGCCCGTCCGCTGAGATGCCAGACAAATGGGTAAGGGACGGGAGACACTCAGGAAGAAGCGGGCAAATCCGACGGAGCACAAACTAGCGTCCGCGGCTAGGCGCTGGTTTTTCTTCCTCCCCAACGTTACCGGTAAGCCACGGAAGAGCTTGGCGGGCAGAGGCAGGAGGACTCGAGGAGGAGCCGACAAGCAAACGGTGGGGTTTTGATGAGGGCAACCCGACGGGGGCCCTGGTCAGGAGGGGTGTTCGTGTCTTGTTCCCACTGCCTCGATCAGCAAGCCGTGCCTTGTTGCACTGGCCGGCCACTGGTTGCGAAGCCGCGCTCGCCGTGGTCACAGGATGTGCGGAGAAGGGGGAGCTGTTTTGGGACGCTAGCTGCGGAAAGCGTAATGTTGATCGGCGGAAACAACGTATTGGATGGGATTATTCTCCGTAAGTGTACTGTGTTCCGTACTTTGTACTCCGTAACGGATGAGAATTTCGATTTTGGGGGATTGGCCGATGGAGAGCGCAAGACTGATGTTACACGTGGATAAAATGGAAGGCTTGGCAGTCTCTCAGGGAGACAGATTTGCCCGGCATCATACCTGGTATATACACTATGTAGAGAGAAAATAAAATTTACCATCATCAGCACCACCGTTCACAATGTTCCGTTACCAAATCGCTCTCTGCGGTTTGTGCGCTCGGTTGGTGGTGGTTTGGAGTCTCAGCCTGAGGCATGATCAAATCAGATGTCACGTTGTGTAATCCTATTACACCGTTTTCCGTAAGGACCGGACGCAGCCAACAAGAGCGTTGGGTGATCGGCACAATGACGCCAAAGCGCGCTACGCTGATTGGCTCCACGGTGGGGCCACCCTGGACCCTCAAAATGGTAAGCAGGGGGTCGCATACGCCAATGATGAAATGATCTTCACCCGCCTCAAGGCTTTGAGTTTTGAGGATGTAACAAGAACAGGCTCCCGTCCATGGTGCACGCTGCAGTCACGCAGTGTCTCCATCAACTTCCGAAACCGATTCATACACATTGCAAAGGCATCTGGCAGCATTCAGCTGCTTTTATTATTCGCAAGTCAGCAACCGCTTCATCCTCCTGTACGATCTTTCGAGCATCAGGGTCAAATGGCGAAATTCTTCGGTACATAAAACGTTATTCGGGGTAGGCTGTCGGCGAACCGCTGTGCCGCTTGTACGGATAGCGGGAGGCGGTGACCAAGCTTGCAACCATGACGTTCCCTGTTTCGACCATCATCAATTCCAAGTTCCCTGACGAATGAGAGTGCCTGAAGATGGGACCCTGAACGAAGCATGTGTCTACACTGTGTCCTGTTGAGGCAATACTCAGTCACACACGCATGCGATAACACAGGATTTCTCATCAGTCGAAACACATCTTCGGTGTGAAGGGGCACCTACTGTGGCACTGGTAAGAATTTGTTCATCGACCAATCATTAGACCACTACCTGACCGAGTTCCTCTGTTTAGATATGCTAGTACAGGACAGTATCTCGAGTATCGAGAATATACTCCGTACTGGCACCTCTCGCAAGCCTACGCGGATTAGTCGCCGGTTCCGCAACAATGCTAGCCCCCACCTTATTAGACTCCTGGACTCGGAATTCGGCAACCCAACCCCAACCTCCGTCTAGCAGAGCTTGGATTATTACCTAAGGTACTGCCAGCGCGGACTGAAGGCCGCGACGAGACCAGGACCCGTACGGGCCTCAGATAGCGTCGGCGGTTTCAGACCGTCGACGTGAACGGAGACGATTGCAGGTCAAACTAAGTTACTTCTTGGTCGTGGGAGACCCAAGACACGACGGCCAGCCCATCGTTTTCCGTATTGTCGGTATCGAATCCTCCTCGGATGTACCTACTAATAAACCAAGAGCAACCGTGTACGAGTCGCACTGTATCAGGAGCCGTCGATCACCTCCTCGACCGACATAACGCACCGGGGCCAGCCTCCAATCTCTGCCGGCAGAAGCGAATCAACGATTACGCCGTATTACCGCGGCATGGCTGGCTCCGTCACCAAATTCAAGGAAAAGATATAACGTGTTTGTCCTCGACCGGCCTGATGGACAAAGGTCAGATTACGGAGTATCGGTGGAAGAATGGACTTGCGTCGGTCTCGTCATAACGTTGGCTGCTGGGCCGCAAATTGCCCGGCCACGGCACACGGCCATGGACCACTGCCCACGGATCGGCCTGCAGCTGCCGGACTGGCCGAAGATATCGACATCCTTCACCACATCGTTACGAGTCAAGCATGCCTGATGTATCCCCCTCTGGCTCTGAGCTCCCATACAGGCGGTATTACCCGCTCCACGTGTGGCCTTCCGGGACCGCCCACACTCGCCTACACTAGTCCGAACATATCCCTTCCCGCCTCTCTTCCCTTTGGGGGCGCCAAGGATCACTGTGTGCTGACGTCTTGGGATCGGCATCTACACCGTTGGTGTGCAGTCCCTCCGCAAAGACCTGCGCGTTCATTGTGCTCTACACTTGTAAGTACCGAGTAAATGAGACTATCCCTCTGGCCAGTGTCATCCCCTCTCCGACCTTCCCAGTAATAAATTAGTGTAAACTCTTCTCTTTTGGACAAGGGTACCTGATCCGAACCTTGGTACCCCTGTATAGGAGAATGAATAGAAATGATGATCTTTCAAAGACTCCACGGGCGGGGAGATCATCGGTGCCTAATGGCCAGCGTGCTAGTTTAATCACTCATCGCGCACCAGACTTTCTGTTTGCAGGGCTGTGCCGTTTCCGTCTTGTTTCCATGCATTTCTAGCTTCTTCCTTGCTCTGCTCGGTTTGCTCGACTTGCTCCGTTCTTTGAAGGCACCCCAATGGCAAATCCTAGCAGGTCCAGGTAGGTATGTAAGGGTAAGTTACTGCGTGTGGACACTGTGACCTCTTGCCCGCCGTCAGCATTCGACTCAGTGGTTGTCGACTGAGAACAAAAACAAAAACTGGAAGCATGCGGGATTGGGCTGCTTGTCCTTGTCACTTTCGTTGCCCTAGTGGGGGTATCGCGGGACTCAATCGATGTCAGGGCCAAATGGCAACTACCTTACTAGTACTAGTACACTAGGAGCCGAGACGTACCTCGTCATGGCTTATCGCACGTCTGGGGGAGGCGGGGATTGCTTCCGGGCCTCATCATCGGGCCTACGGCCTGCCAAAACCTCTCGGGTTCCTTGGCCGCTGCCCCCGACCTGCCCTCCTTACCACCGGCAGTTCAAGCACCTTCGCAGCTATCACAATGCAGCATGTATCATTCCCGGATTGTTCTCAACCGCATCGAGTTGGTTCAGAAGGGGAGTCCTTCATGATGTCCTGATCATTACCTACTCGTACCATCAGGTTATGGTGATTATAAACCCAATACTTGCGGCTGGACTCCACTGGCGACGTCGAACAAGGCGCACGCAAGCTTCAGAAACACAGAGAGGCCCTGGGGTCACGGTTGGCCTCTACCGCCGACAAGTCACGCCGATGGTACGAGCAATGACAAAAGAAACCCCCTAGCTTGGCTACATGCTCGCGCTGCCTACCTCCGATCTCGCCCAGTCTAGGCGGATATACACGTGTACGATGACTGACCCAACGCACACCCAATGCTGATTCGCACCGACCCTATCAGCTATGACGCTTCTCAGCCACCAAGTACATGTAACTGCCAGTGGGAAAGCACTGCCAAGTCAGGATCAGATGGGAACAATAAAGGAGGTAATATTTCCCTTGAGCAGACTCACAAGATGAACAAGCTGTAAGCTTTGAAGCCGATGGGTATGACGATTGCTAACAGCGTATGTCGAGAGGCTTCTGGATTGAAGGAGGATTGGATTCGACGAGTTCAGCATGGCATCAACCTTCCTTCTAACAGTAATTGGTTCCTTCGCACAAGCTCATGGTGTCAAAGGCACCCAGTTTTCCCGAATAACGATGAAGAAACCAACTATACTACGCGAGTACCTATAGGTAACCATAGCGGTCAGTGGGTAACAGTGCTTCTGAAGCACTCACTGGGTACACACCCTTCCTCCTTTCCTAGTTCGTACAATCAACCGCGTTGAGTTCTACTCGGGAGTCGTTCCTTATCCCGGCCCGTTCACTCATGTATGTACCGTAGCGGACGACCATCAGGTCTGAGGGGAAGGATGAGATCAAGGCGAACTTGGCGAAGACGAAATATGAAGGAATGCAATCGCTCTGACGATGATGGGAGAATCGGGGAGACCGCCAATGAGTACGATAAAAGACACGGCAGAGTGCAAGACGTTTCTCGAATTTCGAGGTAAGCCTGAGACCATATTCGTACTCACCATAGCATTGTGACCCCTGTTATCATTCTGCCGCCGAAAGCATGCTTAACCCAGCTCTCAATCCACTGGATTGAGTTGAGTTGGGGCTCGATATCAAAGTCGCGAGTTCGATAAAAGTCTACACCTTTCGGTTACCTGCGTTCAAGTATCATTCAGACAAAAATTGTCAGCCAAGTGCCCGCTTTAGTAAGTGAATGGAAAGCAGACTCGGTGGGTACAATTGCCTAAAGTGGTCGTTCCGAGTGCGGAATCTGCGGATGCCCTAGCCCCACCAATCCTTAATTATCTCGCCGTCCGCTGCTTCTAGAACCCAAAAAAACATCATACATGTAGGACGGTTTCGGCGACAACATTCCATCTCAAGTCTCTATCGGAAGGGCCACTGGAGAACCCTATGGCGCTACAACCCGAGCCTTCACTGCCTGCACCGGCGGCGCAGTTAAAGACGGCCCGGGCCAATGCCGATCTCTCGGGTGACGCCCCCTCCGATGCCGAAGAGGGTGCCGGGGCCGGTGCTGGGGCCATCCCCGCCGCTGACACGGATGATGCCGCGGAGCGCCGGATCCGCCGCAAGGTCGACTTGCGCCTCTGCACCATCGCCGGCATCCTATGCAGCCTGAACCTCCTCGACAGCGGCGTGCTCTCCAGCGCCGCCGTCACGTCCATGCCGTCCGATCTGGGGCTGGACCAGGGCGACCGCTTCTCCGTGTCCATCTTCATCTTCACCATTTCCAGCATTGTGTTCCAGCTGCCCTCGACCATCGCGGTGCGCATGCTCGGACCGCGGATCTGGTTTGCGGTGATCACCTTCGCCTTTGGCCTGATCACGCTCTGCACCGGCTTTGTCCGCAGCTGGCAGCAGATGATTGTGCTGCGCATCCTTCTTGGCGCCGCCATGTCCGGCATCTTCCCGGGCCTCGCCTACCTCATCAGCACCTGGTATCCGCGCCGGGAGCAGCAGCTGCGCTTTGCCTACATGCAGAGCGGCGAGGTCATCATCCTTGCCACGGGCAGCCTGGTCAACTACGCGCTGAACCGCCTCGACGGCCGCGGCGGCCTGGAGGGCTGGCGCTGGATGTTCGTTGTGCAGGGGCTCTGTACTTGCGTCATCGGCGTTGCGACGTACTGGTGGATGGTTGATTTTCCCGAGAACTCGCACGCAAGCTTCCGCTTCCTGTCACCCGACGAGGCCGCCATCGTCGCGCAGCGCATCCAGACCGACCGAGGCGACCTCGTCGCTCAGGACTTCAGCATCGGAAAAGTCCTTGTCCACGCCAAGGACCCCAAGGTCTGGGCGTTTGCCTCGCTCTTCTTTATGCAGAACATTGTGTCGACGGCCCTGGCCTACTTTGTGCCCATCATCCTTGAGGGCGGGCTGGGGTACTCTTCTGATGCGTCCATCATCCTGTCGGCGCCGCCGTACTACTACGCCGTGCTGCCCGTTCTTGCTTCTTCCTGGTTTGCTGACAAGTTCCGAATCCGGGCGCCCATCATTACGTTCAATGCCGTCTGTCTCATCACTGGCTTTGCCGTGCTGGGGTTTGCTCGAGACTCAGGAGCTCGTTACTTTGGTGTTTTCCTTGCTACGGGTGCCTATGTGGCAAACTGGGCCGCCCTGACGGCTTATCAGGCAAATAATGTTGTTGGGTATGTTTCGCCTCGTCCCGGTCTCAGAGGAATGCACACTGACACTCTGTGCCTAGTCAATGGAAGCGGGTGTTTACTGCTGCAGCCTGTACTATGTTCAACGGCGCTGGTGGGATTGCAGGGAGCTTCATCGTCCGAAGGTTCGAGGCGCCATACTATGCGACGGCTGTCTGGGTGTCAATTGGGTGAGTCTGCCACGGCGAACGTGAACCATGCGTTGCCCAGAAACACACCTGCTGATGAGGATTAGATCGCATATTTTGATGATAACTGTCGTTGGTCTGCTTTCCTTACACTTCTACCTCGCCAATACCATGCAAAGAAAGAAAGCCGGAGTTTTGGAAAGCACGGTAAGCAGCTTGTTTACTCCCTGGTATCTACAGTTCGCTGACCTACCTAGGCGGGCTTTAGATTCACATACTAGAGGGTTTCGGTGGAACATATATAATTCATCAGATATAGAGAGACGTTACACGAATTCATACCAAAGCGAACGCTTAATACCAAAGCCTTGGTGTTCTTCCAACTTTAACATCGAGGCTTGTACTATATCCCATCCTAGTACTCGGTTTCCGCAGCTGCTACTCTGCACTGCTTGGAGGTCTCATGGCTGTCTCTTCGTGGTTCGCCGCATCCTGTGCGTAGGTCGTCCCCATATCTTCCACGCGCTAACTGTTGGTGAGACGTCAGGCGTGGTAGTCCACTACAGAGTCCAATTCCGAGGGGCGATCAGTATCACGTTTAATCATATGACTCTGTCAAAGACGCATGCCGTTTCCGTGATACAACCTGGAGCGTCTTTGCTGTCCATCCGAATCCCTCCCCGCATGAGTCCGGTTGGACACTGCCGGGCGTTGCATCGTTGGACGGAGGCGTCTAAGCCGGGCTCATCAAGATTCTCTCGACACTAAGATAAGAGAGGCGGTCTGGCCCTCGAAGAGATAATCTTTATCCTGACCCTTGCCGCGGACGGGGATGTTTCAGACGAGGACGAGGGCCTTTTGTTTCCCGTTGTGCTCGACGGCGAGAATTGGCCAACAGGACAAGCTCAGCAGCTGCCTGTTGTGCTGGGAGGAGAAGACCGCAACCGAGCTTGTGAACACCCGGTCCAAGTTTGCTGCGGCTATAGCCTATTAGACTTCGAGCGCAGCACGTCCCGGCTTTCAGTTAGCGGAAGATCGGAGTCACTGGACATGTTCGAATTTTCCCGTGAATCCGTGCTGCGAAATAGCAGATCGATACTCGGTAAAATCGATCCTTGATTGTCTTGGTAACCCTGATTAACATTCACTGGGATTCAACACCAGCAGTGCTATGTAGCAACTTGAACAAACGGGGTCAGGTAGGCTGAAGTAGGTAGGCTGAAGTAGGTAGGCTGAAGTAGCTCGAGGGTAGCTCGGTCGTCGAGGGAACAGGGTCCGCGACTCCACGTATCCACCGGTATCCACAGCTGTGGGAGGATCTAATGTAAGAGACTCGGCATAGCTCGAGCAAGGCTTGACCATGCGAGGCAATTTTAACTACAACTCGGCCGCTGGTTAAGTTCATCACTGTGTGGACCGCATACTGCGTGATGACGACATGGACACATATCGGACGATCCGGCTCGAAGTCAAGGCTGGTATTCCCCATCGATTGTGCAGCTGCGCTTCCCCAAAGCCGACACTCGGTGATCATGCCGTTTGCGAGATTGCATGGTTCCATGTGTAAGCGGCAGACACGCCAATTCCAGTGTCGCAGCTGGGGCCGGGGCCGTATTGAAGACAATGCCATTGCTCCTAGTACAGAAGGTACATACAGTTCTACGTGTCGATTGTGACTGGCTGGGCAGCAGCAGTTCTCATACCATTACACACCTGCCCATCTATGTCCTCTTTTTCCGTCCACAGATGCGATATGCAACTTGGGAGATTCCCGACCGTATCTCTAGTAGGCGTAGAGAAGGAGGAAGGCAACCATCAGGGCGAACAGGCCAGTAGCTTCCGCGAAGGCGAAACCCAGGACGGCGTAAGAGAAGAGCTGACCTGCAATTGGGAGAATCGTTAGCTGTCACGAATTCCTCCTAGCTGGAGCTGTTGCGCGGTCAAGTGACCAATTGCTTACCTCGGAGGGCCGGGTTGCGGGCGACACCATTGATGAGAGCACCGAAGACAGTGCCAATGCCGACACCGGCACCAGCGAGACCGATAGTGGCAGCACCAGCACCATGCACCTTGGCGGCGGTGATGAGGGCGGCGGCAGTGGACTCGACGACGACTCCCCGCGACTGCATAGCATTGCGGATTATGGTGGAGCCAAAGGTGTTACGGGCGCCATTAAGGACGAGACCATGACGAGCAGCAGGCTGGCGTGCGGCCGAGATGATGGAGCTGGGAACGCGAGCTGGAGAGAAATAAATAACGCGTCCCCAAGCGGGAGGAGAGATGACAGCTGGCTCAACATGTACGTACCCTGACTGTGCATCGTCGACATCAGACGGACAGGCTGCTTCAAGCCCATGCGGGCGACAGAGGCTGTCAACCTGCTTGAGGCGAGCATTTTGAAGAGATGGACTTGATAGGGTGGACGGATTGAGAGTGTGACGATTGAAAAACAGCCTGCTGTTGGATGGGCTGTTGAGTGCTGAGGTAAAACGCAAAGCAGAGGGGAGGGAAAGTTGGAGCGGGAGAGTGAGGGGGTGGCCGGGTGGCAGGTGCTAGAGGTCACTTGTGCCAGATCATGCTTCCTGAGGCATCAATCCAATGGGGATAATAACGTGCATGGAAGGCGCGGCCGCATCAAACAGCGGTTTGGTTGGCCAATCGAAAATACACTCATTGGGGTTGTACCGTGCCTTCCTCCTAGGATTTGCGGCAATCCGCCCTGCTTGCGGCCCGGGGCTGGGAATGAGAATGGAGAAACTGACCCGATGCCGATGTTGAGCAAATCCAGTTATCAGAGTGTGGAAAATCACAAGTAAGTCTCAGCTGGTCAAAGTATGTAGTTTCTCTAGATCAATTCACAGGTGCTACGAGTACTGGATATTCAACACTGTACTGTGGTATTCCATTCTTCCCGGAGACTGTGCCTGTCATATGCGCACGTGGGCAATTTGATCAGTTTCACTAAGATGCCCTAGAGAACAGCGCTGGGCCCATTCATTATTAGCCTCCTTTGGATCTCTGAGCGAGATGGAAGCATTCTCTTGTCAACAACAACAGAGGACAAGTCGCCGGCCACAGTACTGTGGTAATTGCGGGTAATGTGATGGATGATATTATTGGGGATGGTCTGAGACGTGGCTGGTTGTCGAAAGCGGGGAAGAGAGCTCAGACCACTGAACTGTCCGAGCTCGAGGGCATCCAATCTCGTCCACGTTCAACTCAAGATCGCTAAACTCATGTCACGCGAGCAGGAAGTCGGTGGTAATGAGTGAACAATGCAGAAATTGGAATGCTGATTGTGCAAACTGTCATCGACTTTATGCGACTTCAAGCTAGATATTAGAGTCGACTCGGTAGGATTGCGATATGGACTGTGTAACGTTAGCAATTGGTGATTGATCTCGTGTTTGACACCATTCATCATTCCCGTGTCTGTTTGCTCATTCAGGGGCAACAAGTACCTTACCCCGCTTTTTGGGCTGAGATGGACATCCCAAAAGGGTCTGGCTTAACGGATCCACTGGCGGGCGAATGGTTTTGTGCGGGGCCCCACACGTAATCTCCGCAATGACAGGGCTCTTCCCCAGAGTGATCCATGAACGGCAACGGTTCCCTGATCCACCATGTTGTGGGGTCCGTTCTTGGATCCAGGGATCACTGCACTACTAAAACACATGTGTGCGCAGCAGCAGTCAAGAGCTGTGGAATACGGATTGCTTTGGTTCTAAACTAGAAACTGGGAGTCTTGTTCCTTGAATGAAATTCGTATGCACGTCCGACAGACCAGCGATCTCAGCCGATCTGGTATATCCGGCTCCGTCGGGCGAGCAGGGGTGTCGGAACCCCTGGTTTCCATCCAGATGGCAAGGGTGTATAAAGGAGTGTTGGTGGACTCAGGTTGAGTAGCTACCTATGGTATGTTATCAAGCGTGGTGTTGAAAAAGTGGGACGGGCAATACCCTGAAATCCAAACGTGTTGTACGAAGACAATACCCGAACTTGGAAACTGTTATTTGCTTCTTGAGCAAGTAACACTTGATGTGCAGTGGATGGTTCAGATTGCCCAGTAGTCACGCAACCCACCCGCAGAGCTTCCCTGACCGTGTTAAACAAAATTGACGCAGATGCCATCGTGCTCCCTGGCATGGTCACCGCCTGGTGATACCCTCGTCATCTTACAACGGATTTCCGGGTTGAGTGGCGGCTGAAACGACCTGTTCCTCACCGGAGTGATACCTAGTGCTCTACCGAATATATGATACTCTGTATCTTCGATATTTGCACCTTAACTGCTCAATCTGTACCATCTTGGTTCAACTAAGCTTAAAAGTAATCCTGCCCATTACGCTTCATCTATCAGTTCCAAGCCCTACGGGTGTTGGTCGTTGATATCATGTAAATCCAACCCACCCAAGCAAGTCTCCCATCAGCTCTAGTAGATTTGTAGGAATCTGAAAGCGGCTCTTAACTTTGCGACCTGCCAAAACATTTCTACCTTAGTTTACCGTCTTATCAAAGTCACTTTAATTGCTTATGAGCGTCCTTCGCACGAATGGCGTTGTCGTACCTACATTTGCACGACATGACATTTCCCATACAGGTAACGACTCGGGTTCGGAATCTCAAAAGACAGCCAGACCATATCCACACACATCTCTTCCAGACCTACCTTAGCTACCTTCCGCCCGGTCAAAATAGCTGGAAATGACTGAATCGCTTAAAAATGCAATAAAATTCGAATGCGTTCGTTTTTTGGAAGGCTGACTAAGGTAGGTAAGTAGCAACTCACAACTATTACAGTACAGGCCCGTGCGTCCTTACCGTGGCATACATTACAGTAAGAACGCGCCTCTGAATGGCTCTGTTGGCGATATACGCGTAAGAGAGCGCTTGACTGGCTGGGGCTCTGTTTCCAAGACGGCGACGGGCGTCGGGAACGTTCGTTTGGCATCGTATTCGTGGCATCGTAGGAAGGATTCGAAGGAAGGAATTGAAGCCTGGGAAAACCTAGAAAAGTCAGTAGTTATTTTCAATTAAGAATTGAAAATTGAACGAACCTAATTGAATTGAAAGATATTTGAAGGCCCTTAATTGAGTTGGAAGTTGGAGGGTTCTAATTGAATTGAATTGGTTTTGAATTGAATTGAGTGAAGCCATGATCATAAGTAGTAATTACCTACCTACATAGGTATTGCATATACCTATCTAGGCTACATGCCATACTATGGGTGGTAACCATGTGCTTCTAACAGCCCCTGGAGTTGTATACTGATAATCTCGTAATGGGGAATGGAAGGGAGGGTTGGTCTGGGGCTGGTGAATAAGGTATGGGAAACAGGAAACACGGCAAAGAAGAAAGAAGAAGGAGAGAAAAAGAAAATAAGGGAGAAAACCGGAAGGGAAAAGGGATGAAAGGCCAGTTTAACTAGCCGAAAGAGACTTAAAATATAACATAGCATGGAATGTCTGGTCCAAATCACATCCTGTGCCATAGGTGGGCGGTACCTACCCCTCATTAGAGACGGTCTGACTCAGTTCAAAAACCCCCAATCCTCGCACTCCCAAGGTTTCCACCAGCTGCATACACCATTGCGGCTTCATTATCCTCCATGATACTCAATTTGATGTAATACCTTCAGCGACAAATACACTGCACTCTTGAAATCGGAGATTGTGTGGATAGCTCCGTTCAGGTTTCGCTTTTCGCTTTTTACGGAGATAAACAGGAGCTTCGGTGGAAACTCGGATTGGATATAAATACCACTTAGCAGCTTCACTTCGTCAAAGGGCAGAATATCTAACGTAGGTTGCTTACTGAGATAAGGGGCTAGAGCTTAAATACAAATCACCACCCAGGAATCTTCGTCTTCCTCAACCCGTTTTACACCTCAGATTTCCAAACAGCTTTCCTTGAACAGAAGCACACGGCCATTCCTTAACCCAAAGATGTCTCTCGCTGGAAAAGTCTTTCTCATCACCGGCGCCTCCAAAGGCATAGGCCGTGCAACGGTCGAGCGCGTCGCCGCTGACGGCGGCTCGGTCGTGATCAACTACCTCTCCGACAGCAAAGCCGCCGATGAGCTCGTGTCTCAGATCGGCCCGGACCGAGCCCTGGCCGTTCAAGCCGACGTCTCCAAGCTACCAGACATTGAACGTCTCGTTGCGGGAGCAGTCGAGAAATTCGGCAAGATCGACGTCGTGATTCCCAACGGTATGTCATGCTTCTTCCTATACGTACTGCAGCCTGAGATGAAGCTAGACTGATATTTTACTTACATGATAATTCAGCCGGGGTAATGGGCATGCACACACTCTCAAAAACAACCGAAGCCGACTTCGACCGGCACTTCAACCTGAACGTCAAGGGCCCGCTCTTCCTCGTGCAGCGCGCGGTACCGCACATGCCGGCCAACGCCGACGCGCGCGTCATCTTTGTCTCGACGGGGCTCAACACGTCGACCAACGTGCTGGGCGCGCACCTGCTGTACTGCGCGACCAAGGGCGCCGTCGACCAGATGGTGCGCACCCTGTCCAAGGACCCGGAGCTGGCGGCCAAGGGCATCACCGTCAACGCCGTCGCGCCCGGTCCGACGGCCACGGATCTGTTTTATCAGGGCAAGACCGAGGCGGTGCTGGATGTCCTGAAAAGACAGAGTCCGTTTAACAGGTTCGCCACGCCCGAGGAGATTGCTGGCGTGGTGGCGTTTCTGGCGGGTAAGGAGAGCGGGTGGATGTCGGGCCAGGTTGTGAGGGTCAATGGTGCGAATATGGTCTAGGTTTGGTGCCTTACATAGATAGCGTTGCCTTTTTTCAAGTTTTGGTTGTCTTGGAGAGTCTGACTGCAAATCTAAATCACAAACCATCTTCCCCAAGGCACGGAATATGAGTTCGATGAAAGAGCTGGTACAGTTCCAATGTTTGGCCCTATACAATATCGGGCAGTTGTTGATGGCTCATGCATCTTGTGCGAGCTTTTCGTCGTGTGCAGCGCCAACCGTATTCAGAACCGTCTGAGCACTCCTCTTCTGCAGACTCTTCTTGACAGGATTGGGTGCGGAAAACACCTCCTCCAGCTCCTCCAACGTGCGGTCCTTGGTCTCGGGAAAGTAGAAGTACATGAATGCACCTTCGATCAGGTCCCAGAACACAAAGACCAAGTAGAAATAGTAGCCGATACCCTCAAACGCCGGGCCTGAGGCGTACTGCAAGATGGTTGATGCAACCGAAGACGCAAAGTTTCCCACCGCTGTGCCCTTAGCACGCGTTGCCGTGGGCAGGGTTTCGGCGATGTACATGCTTTGGAGTGGAGTCCAGCCAAATGAGAAGACAATGCCAAAGATGAATATGAAGGCAATGGTGGTATTAGCTGCTGCTACCTGGGTTGGGTCGTCCGTGGCCATCTTGCTGGTGCCGGTGATGATGGCGAAGCAAATCGACGCAAAGACAATGGTGTAAAGCAGCAGCGGACGGCGGCCCACGACATCGGTCATCCGAGCACCGAAAATGGCACCCAAAAATGACAGGGCCGGGTTGATGCCGTTGAGAGCGAGAACTTTGTGCTGTTCGGTGATACCGGCCGAGTTGAGCATGGTGACCATGTAGTATGACGATAAACTGTTGCCGCTGATTTGGCCAAAAACAGCCATTCCAATAACGCATATGAGGCGGCGACGGGCCGAGTGCGTATTCCACAGCTCGTGGTAGTCGTACCATTTCTTGTCCGAAGCTTCACTTGAGATTTGGCTGATCATTTCCTTCATCTGCAGCTGCACCAGCGGGTGGTCGAGTCGGCCCTCCCCGTGATATGTGGCAAGCACCTTGGCGGCATGGTCGTGTCGATCTTGAGCCATGAGCCACCTGGGGCTCTCGGGCAAGAAAAACACGCCCAGGCATACTAGGCCCGAGGTGACCATCTGACACCAGATAGGGATGCGCCAGGCGTCCAGGCTGTCGATGTAGGCACATCCGTACACAACCCAAGAAGCGATGATGCTTCCAATGTACCAAGTGCAGTTGTAGAGGCCTGTCAGAGTGCCTCGCCACTTGGGATGAGCCATTTCCGACACATAGCACGGTGCCGAGACGCAGGCAAAGCTCACTCCGAACCCTAACACGAACCGGCCTGCGAGGAACTGGCCGTTTGATGTGCTTGGTGCCTGTATGCAAGTTCCGATGATGACGATCAGGGCGCCTACAAACATCCCCCAGCGTCGACCGAAGTAGTCGTTGACGGGTCCCGTGAAGAACACGGCAGCCACGGAGCCAATGTTGTACATGGCAAAGACTAGGCCAGTGCTAGAACCTGCCGTGGACCTGGCACTCCAAATCAGCACCTGTGCAGGTTTTGCAACTGAGGTGACGGTGTGGCATCTTCTTACATGTTGAAGTATTTCTGATACGAGTGCATGCCATTCAAGCCGCCCATCAGACTGCCATCGTAGCCGTTGAGACACCCACAGAGGTAGCTCAGGGACAAGACGAGGTACAGTCGGCACATCCGCCACGACCAGGGAGAATACTTTGAATCGTCGGCATCGTGAGCTAGCTGGATGGCACCATCCGCATCTGCGTCTGCGTCGCGGAGCCCGCCATCGTGGTGGTCGACTGCCGAAGCATCTTTTTCGGTATTGGCAGCCATGGAGAGGTTGTTTGGGGTGAGGCCCATATGGCCCGCGATGGTGCAAAACGGCTCGGATGGTTTTGTAGTTCGCCACGCGGACTCGAGGTTGGCGACAGATGGGCGTAGTAGTAGTACGTATATGCGATTAATGTTTGCGCCGGCGTCGTCCCAGCCGTCGACTTACTGAGATCTAGATCTTCTTCTGCATGTGATATGACGACGATGCAGGATGGCCCTCTGGAGGGGCCCAACGTACCGGCTCCTGGCTTATACACGTGTACACACGGCTGTTTGCTTCCCCGCACCGAGAGCAGCCGAGCTTTGATATTGCCTGTATGCAACATCGCGGGCAACGGCGTGGTATTGTGCAAGGCTGGTGTTGGAAACGGCACCACAGGGGTTCTCGTTCGGGAAGCTACTCGGCTCTAACTTGCCCGAAGTACTTGATTCCTCCTTATACACTAAGAAAAGGTTAGATCAATGAATTTCCAAGTAACATCAAGCTCGCTTTAGAATAGACCATGGAAGCTTGATCCAAAGGGTTGGCCTAGAGGAGGGTAAATAGGTTGCGTACCTTATCTGGCCCTTGCCGGGGTGGTGTTAAGATTGTCGGTTTGAAGACGAGCCTATGTCCCAAGGTTAGAACATTTGTAGGAAAAAAGACTTTGACCGATTTCTTTGATCTCGAGTTTGTTTGAACCTAGCCCAACGTTAATCTGATTAACCAGGCCCTGGTGGTTCTCTAATTTGGGACAATTCTCCAGTTGCAGTTGTACTTGGGTGTTTCTCAAGCCAATTGGAGGGATATTTCACAAACATCTTACCACTTGCCGCTGATCTCCTCTTGCAATGACACGCCATCTCTTGGCTCCCTTGGATCGCGTTCGTCATGGTGCGACACGAACTGCGACGTTATGCGGGGTTGCCACTGCCGAGTTCAAAGTTACGTGTCGGTGAACCCAGAACCCCGCATCGACGACGCGTTGACTGGCGACGTACTGTTGCACTTTGTGACTCACTCTGCACACCATAAACATCAATATCAAGACGTCGAGGTTAAGTAGGATATGACGCGGGGCGCTGTTTCTAGACCACGCTGGAGTGAAGGTCAACTGCTGCAAAAGATGTCCAATCCTGAAGGAATCTCCCCCCAGGAGGACAGCGGTAAGCCAGACTATTCCAACGAGGCCGTTTTTCGAAGGAACACGCTACCCCCGCGATCCTATTACATCCCGGAAAATGCACTGGTCCTGAACGGTCAGTGGGATTTTCACTACGCTTCGAGTCCGCTAAAAGCCCCCAAGCCAACGTCCGGCTCCGCGGGTCCTCAAACGAGCAGCAGATTGGCCGAAACCGAGGACGGTTGGACGACTATACAGGTACCTGGCCATTGGCAGTTAGAGGGCCATGGCATTCCACACTACACGAATGTCCAGTACCCGATTCCTGTCTGCCCGCCCTACGTCCCCACCGAGAATCCTACCGGGACGTACAGGCGGATTTTCCATGTGCCCTCGTCTTGGGGCCACAATGACCAACTCCGGCTACGATTTGATGGCGTCGACAGTGCCTATCATGTCTGGGTAAACGGTGTCCTCGTGGGATATGCCCAGGGGTCAAGGAATCCACATGAATTTGACGTCACCCCCTACGTCCACCGACAGGGAGCGAACGAGGTCTTTGTGACTGTGTACCAGTGGTCCGACGGCTCTTACATTGAAGATCAAGACCAATGGTGGCTATCAGGTTTGTCGTGTTCTCGCCGTGGAAAAACCCGCAATCAGGGGCTGACATTGTCAGGAATCTATCGCGATGTGCATCTTATCCCGGTGCCATCCGATATACGAATCGAGGACTGGTTTCTCCGGGGTGATCTGGACAACGAGTACAAGCATGGAAATCTTCATGCTACACTCAATATTGTCGCTAGTTCCCGCGCATCCATCACCATAGCTCTCCGCGAGCTGCCAAAGAATGGAGGGAAAACGGTCCTCACTGCTCACCATGATATTAGCAACGATGGCGAGATTCACTTCGAAATCCCCGTTGCTGAGCCGAAGAAATGGACCGCCGAGACGCCATACCTATACGCCGTGGAAATCTCCGTCGCCACGGAAACAAGGACCCATAAAGTGTCCCAGAAGATAGGTTTCCGGAAGGTTGAGCTGAAGAGTGGCTTGATCTGTGTCAATGGTACACCAATCAAGCTTAGCGGAGTTAACAGACACGACCACCACCCGTTGTTTGGACGAGCTGTTCCCCTCGACTTCGTCCGGCAGGACTTGTTCCTCATGAAGAAGCACAACATCAATGCCCTCCGCTGCAGCCACTACCCTAGCCACCCAAAGCTTTTTGATATAGCGGACGAACTGGGACTTTGGCTCATTGATGAGGCAGACCTCGAGTGTCACGGTTTCTATGACGCCGTAGCACGACCCCTGAACATCCCAGAGGAAATGGACTACGAGGAGCGGAAGAAGTTGACTTTCGGACAAGCGGCCAAGTACACCAGCGACAACCCTTCATGGAAGGCCGCGTATTTAGACAGGATGGAGCAGATGGTGCAACGTGATAAGAACCATCCCTCCATCATCATGTGGTCCCTGGGCAACGAAGCTTTCTATGGCCAGAATCACAAAGCAATGTACCAGTACGCTAAGAAGGTCGATCCCGGGCGCTTGGTGCACTACGAGGGCGATGTCCATGCCGTCTCTGCAGACGTATTCTCGTACATGTACGCTCCCGTTGACCGGTTGATTGAACTTGCAAAGACCGAAGGAGTCAAACCTGACGGGAGCTTTGAGAAGCCGATTATTCTCTGCGAATATGCGCACGCAATGGGCAATGGGCCGGGGTGGCTGCAAGATTATGAGGAGGCCTTCCGGACCTACCCACGGCTCCAAGGCGGGTTTATTTGGGAATGGGCAAATCACGGCCTATGGAAAGAGGACCCTGATGGCAAGTCCTACTATGCATATGGCGGTGACTTTGGGGACGTGCCAAACGACGGCACGTTCGTGATGGACGGGCTGCTATACAGTACGCACAAGCCAACCCCGGGTTTGGTAGAGTTGAAGAAGGTCATACAGCCTCTCAAGCTGTCCGCCGATGGGGACAGCCTAGTTATTTCGAATCTCTACAACTTCATTGGACTTGAACACCTTGCTGCAACTTACGCCCTGGAGGAATTCTCAGAGAGGTGAGAATATGGTTTTGCCCCCCTTTCACTTATCAGTTACTGATTCTTCTCCTTAGCACATCGCTTCTCGCCTCTGGGGTCTTGGATCTGCCAGCAATTCTGCCAGGATCAACTGGCAAAATTCCGCTCCCAGTCACGGCACGAAATATCAAGTCTGAACATGAAGTATACTTAACAGTGTCGTTCCGTCTCCGCGCTGCAACCTCTTGGGCAGACGTTGGTCACGAAATAGCCTGGAGTCAGCACCAAATCTCGGCAGGAAAGCCAGAATTACCGGCAAGTTTAGGCCAGACGCACTCAAGTCTACCGGTAGAGTTTATCAGTGCCGGCGGGGAGATAAAGGTCTACGGCAACAACTTTACCTTGTCCTTCGACCGGTCTCGGGGTCACCTCACGCGCTGGACAGCAGGCGGTGCGCCTATCCTCATCCCTGACCCAGTCACAGGCGCCGCCATCACCCCGTCCTTCTGGCGGCCCCCAACCGACAACGACAACCCATCTTCCTTCCCCTATTGGCAACGCTTCGGGGTTGATGCAATGACAAGCCAAGTGCGCTCCTTACACATCGACACAGAAGAGGGTGTCCAACTCACGGTCACCACCTTCCTCACACCCCCTGTACTAGACTGGGGCTTTCTCGCCACTACAACCTACTCCATCTCACCCGCAGGATCGCTATCCATACGAGTCCGCCTCAAGCCCACGGGCTCGGCACCAAAACACGTCCCTCGCGCCGGGCTCAACCTCCGACTGCCCGGCCGCCTGAGCAAGGTCGCCTGGTTCGGCCTCGGACCGGGCGAATCGTACCCGGACAAGCAAGCCGCGCAGCGGGTGGGCATCTGGAGCGCCGCATCAGTGGACGAGCTCCACACCCCCTACGAGGTGCCCCAAGAAGGCGGGAACAGGATGGGCACGAGATGGGTTAGCTTACGGGAGCCTTGGGGTGGTGGAGCGGGCCTGAGGGCAATCGCTGCGGGCGAAGGGGAGTGGTCTGCGAATTGCGAGAGGAGGTTCAGCTTCCAGGTGAGCAAGTTCAGTGACCGCACGGTGCAGGCGGCGAAGCACCCGTGTGATTTGGTGGAGGAGGCGGATGGGGCGACGCTGTTACGGCTGGATGGGAGAGTGGCGGGAGTTGGCACGGCGGCTTGTGGGCCGGGGGTGAGAGAGGACTTGCTGGTCAGGGTTGAGGAGATGGAGTTTGGGTTCGTGTTGGAGGCGTTGGGGGTGTGAGGCGCTGCGGGTGAAAGACGGTGCGCAAGAAAGGGTAGAAACATGAAAATGACTAGATGTTGGCATGTTGCTGGTAAAAGGATAGTCTCAATTGGATCGATGGGAATTACAGTAGGGAGACGAAGCACGGAGAACGCTGTTCTTATGGGGAAATCTATTTTCCTTGTGTAAGTGAGGGCGGTCCTGTAGCTTGGAGTTGGACTGCATCATCTCCGTGTCGACAGAAAGGCGTCTCCTTTCTCATCATCAAGGTGGATTTGGTCAGATTGTTCAACACCTGCATCCTTCATCACATTGCACCTGCACGAGTAAGGTATGCATGCTGCCGGTAACCACCGTTAGTAATTGCCAGTTCCAAGAGGGCCGGTCCAATTCCGCCAAGTCTAGTGTACGCCGGGCCCTCATTAATAATCACAGCCGGGCCCACTAAATCCCGGCGCTGACAGCCGGCCCCACTCCGCGATGGCGCCATCGATGCCGGGGAGATATAAGCCCCCCTATCGGCCCCTCCCATATGGATGCTGCCATCATCAACTGAATGGAACGACAAAGGATCGCCACCATCCTCTCAACTACCGCTAAACGATTCAAACATAACTCAACCCTGTTTCCATACAAACACAACCACCTACATCCCAAATTGAGAATTCCTAATCCTAGCAACTCAATTTCCACAATGTCCACCACAACCGGCTCCTTCCGCTACCTCGACCCGGCCAGCATCTCAGCCACATCCAAGGCCTGGTCCAAAGTCGACGCCGACTACTCCTCCTACACGCGCACGACGCGCGAGTGCACCGTGACCAACGTGCGCGACTGCCTGGGCCTGCACCCGTCCTCGCAGCGGGGCAGTTTCGGCACCGACATTGACGTGGCCGGGTTCGCCGTGTACCACGCGCCCGCGCAGCAAAAGACGTTTACCGACGACTCGGCTGTGCGGACAGCTTACTACGCCGAGGTCGAGGCACTACTACGCTCCAAGCTCGATTCACCTCCCTCAAAAAAGGTGAAAAAAGTCGTCATCTTCGACCACACGATCCGCAAGCACGACCCTTCGGCCCCGCGGCAGCCCGTGCAGCAGGTGCACGTGGACCAGACGCCGCGCGCGGCCGAGGCGCGCGTGCGCAGGCATGTGACCGACCCGGCCGAGGCCGAGGAGCTGTTGAAAGGAAGGTACCAGATCATCAACGTGTGGCGGCCGATCGGGCATCCGGCGAGCGATTTCCCGCTGGCCGTGATCGACTGGCGGACGACAGAGCCTCAAGATTTAGTAGCGGTCGATCTGCTGTACCCGATCAGGAACCGGGAGGGGGATGGGGATGATAGGGGTAAGGAGGTCCTCCCGGACCCGGCCACCATCCAGAGCAGGGAGGGTTATGAGGTCAAGGGTGAGACATACGGGGTGCTGCCTAATGAGAAGCATAGGTTTTACTACCTCAAGGACATGACGCCGGACGAGGCCATGTTTATCAAGTGCTTTGACAGCTGGGGCGAAGGGCTGCCGGATGGGAAGAAGGGTGTGGCGGCGCTGACGCCGCACACGGCGTTTATTGACCCGCAGACGCCGCCTGGAACGAAGGGAAGGGAGAGTATTGAGGTGAGGTGTTTGGTGTTTTATGAGTAGGCGAGGACGGGAAAGGAATTGGTCGATGTAGATGCGGATGACTGCCTACCTCAGGTAGTTCTTGTGCCCTACTCTGAATAGGATATAATATGAATGCATACATTACATGAAAAGCAGCTTCGCAGTCCCTAAATGTCATAACAGACGCCCGTCTGTTGGGCTTCCCTATACTACGAGAAAGACGCCGTTTACTGCCGCCTCGTACGCCGTAATGCCCCGAGAAATAAAACACACTGATGACGCGAGTTGATGCGTCTTACCCGCCCGCTCCCTCCTCTTTTTGCCGCAGCCATTCGCCCATTATCGCGAGTTATGCTGTGCGATCCTCACGATGCTTTACCGACGTCTTGGAGCCGCAGGGCCCACCACTCGTGCTCGAGCCGACACATGTTGTTGTGCTAGTATTGCTCCCGGAGCATTCAGGTTGTGCAGCGGGCTGTTGCTGAAGCCGATTGGCGACCTGTGAAATCGGTATTGCATAAATGTCTGTAGGATCGCGCCTCACGACCAGGTGCGTCAGAGAAGGGACATAACGGCCAACCAGCCCCCGCAGGCAGGGTGCACAAGCGCAGACGATAGCCATGTTGACCTCAATGATGCTGTCCCCGGTAAGAGATTGTGATCCAGGATTCCAGGACACTTAAAGGGCACATTGCATACCTCCACGTGTAGTTGATAGCAAACCGGTAGGTAAAATCCTTGTTGCCCCAGCCCCTGGCGACAATAATGACGCGAAGGATGCTGATGGCGACGACGCTGCTCTCTTGTCAACACCCCTGGGCCCAGTGTATCTATCAGTATTTACGCCCGTAAACTTACAGGCCACCGGTGCCGAGAATTGCGGTCAGGGCGGCTTTCTGAGCGAAGCCCACTCGCAGAGGACGGATAATCCAGACTGGAAGCACGAGCAGAACGGCGTCGGTAATGCAGTTGAGTATGATGATCCAGGCAAACCATACATGGCCTGATATGCAGGTTCCCGTTTGGGATGTCTGGTCGAAGAAATACGAGATGGGCCGGCAGAAAAACAGGATGCCGCAGGCCGCGAAGAAGTTGGCCCCCACGACGGTGAACAAGACAAAATACACACAATAGTTGAAGCGGCGGCTGATCGAGAAGCGGAGGTAAAATAACAAAATTGACGATTTCGTGCAGCAGACAGCTAGATAGTGGGTGAAGGGCAACGGGAAAACGAGGATCTGTCTCCATGCGCCATGGTAGGTGTTGTTAGTTTTCCCACTTCAAGGGGGGACGAGGCTGAGTCCCAGCAGGGACTTGGAGGGACGACAGACCTGCAAAAAGGGCAGAAGGTCATATCCGGAATTTCTGAGGTATGAAATATGGTAGCCCAATCCATACTGCGTGACTGCAGACGGGGATCAGTCTCGTAACTTGGAAATCGGGTCATCCATGGAAACTGGCTCTCCGTTTGACGTACGCGTAATAAGGCAGACCGAGTAGCCGATGGAAGAGAGCTGAATGCATGTGTAGTGATCCGTCAGCAGTCAGACGTTTTCGTTTCGCCGGAGCCTACATGTAGCAGGTCCATGTGGGCGTGCAATTACCGATGCGATCAGAATAAGCCCTGGAGATTCCACGTCAGTCCCATGCAGAGTTGGGCGAGTCAAGAGCGAATCTGAACTTCTGAAGACACTCACGGTCATCCCAGCGGAAGTCAGTCCGGAGTATTCTCCGGACCGTGTAGAAGCGTAACGATACAAATAGCAGAGCGAAAGGCAAGGAGCAAGCACAGCCAAGAATGGGGCTGAGTCCAATGGAATCCGAGTCGGGAGCTGGCCCCAGGTTTGCATTTGCAACTGTGCTCATGATGATGACCGGAGTTGCAACGGCATGTTACCAGTGTGATCAGCCCTCGACAACGACAACACAAAGTCTCGTTCGGGCGTCCCGCCATCTGGATTCTGGAAAGGACTCGTTCCAGGAATGAAGAGTTCTGGAAACGGTGGGCGGACGCCGGACGGATGATTACATCAGAATTCGGATCCAGATTGTTTTCCTTCTGGAATTCTACAAACTGCGGTCCATGGGTGCATCCAAATCTTCACCGGTCTGCACAGATCCTGCCATCTGTCGGAGCAAGTTTTTAACTTTTGCCAGTGGCTTGAAGTTGGTATTGCCAGCGATTGGTGGGCTGATTCCATGGCTCGCCCCCTGTTTCCAGGTCCACCAAGCGCAGAAACTCGAGCTGGTTGTGGCGTTTCCATGGCCCATGCCAACTCCCTCCTCTATGTATGTACTTGTACATACATACCGATGTCGGCAGGCGCTATGTGCTCAGTTACCGAACATAGGGAAAGTAGGGAGGAATTACGTTCCTGCCAGCGTGGCCCATTGGGTTCTACCCTTTGTCTTGAGCTCCTGCCTCTCCTGTCTATATCTTCAGTGACTAGGAACCCTTTCCCCTGAGAGCTTGAGAAGGAGGATACATGAACAACCGTCGACGCCACCTTCCCAGCCACAGAACTACCGGGATATCTTGGCCCCATAATTACTACCTATCGGGTGGCCGCCGCTTTCCTCCGATTTCTGGGGCTGAAGTTCGGGCAGCATGAAGACTTGGAACCATGTCAACTCAATGACTACCGATTTTGCGGCGCCGCCAACCACGTGCGGATTACCGCCGCGGCGGAAACCGATATTTCTCGGTATCTTTCAGTGTCCACCACCATGGACATCACATGAGGTCGTCTGCCTCATTACCCAGATATTAACCTGCTTCTCACGTCTGATCTGCCGATGCCTAGCACGTAGTGTCGGTCCACTCGGTCTGAGAAGCCACTCTTCGGGTGGTTCTGGCCCTTTCGGGCCGAAGGTGTCGGTATCTCTTTGCGTTACTCGGGATCATCACGCTGATCCATTTGATACCGACCAGCGTCACTCGATGGAATATGGATCACTGTAATAACGCGAGAGGCGGAGGTTTCCGCCGTCATGGAGGACGAAAGCACAATTGATATATCTTGGGTAAGGAAATGCCGCCATGTGTTAATTCATTTATCGCAACCGCAACGCCACGAAATGCCACTCTGGCTACCTATCGAAGGAGAAGGAGTCACTACTGGTTGGCACGCTCCTTGTCGACTTCGATGTCTGTCATGCCGTATTTGCGCCACTCGCGAAGCAGAAGTGCGACTTCCTGTCGAGCAGGTCGCTCGGGAACGCTGCAATTCGGTGTGAGAACGAATCAACGGACTCAACAGATCCAGCAAAAACGGGCCCGGAGGAAGAAGAGGCCATTACCCATTCCAGTCGGCTACACTGTCAGCCTCGGGGCCCGCCAATGTCGACGTTGGTCACCCATCCCCAATTGTCTGGTCCAACCGGGCCACGGTACAGATTATTCGCACCCGGAAGGAGCGGCACCGGCCAGGTCGTCTTGGCGAGGATGATACCATGATTGGATTGTAGCCACCTGATGAGTTCCGATTGTTGGGTCAGGCTAAGTGGCAGAAGGTTAGTTCATGAATGACAGTGTCCATTAAGGTGCTGTGGGGAGGGAAACTTGGCTTACTCCTTGCTTGTTGCGCGCAATTCCGCATTCTTCTGCCGTTGCACGACGCCGCCAGGGTTGTCAAAGGAGTGGACCACATCCTTGACCATGATCCTGACAGCACGATCGTACATGCTAGTGTTCCCGATCTGCTTGACCGTTTCTAATACCGCTTTGTCCTTGAAGAAATGCGAATGTGCTCTGTTGAAGAGCTTGTTCCAGTCTAAAAGGTGGTTCCATTGATATTAGCGTGACTTGTCCGTTCACTCACAAGGGTGTCCTTCCTATCCATGGCTGATTCGGAATACTTACAAGGCAAATGCACACCGGGAGGGACAGGGTTGGAGTGACTCGGCCATCTCAGCGTTGTCTCCTTGGCGTTAGTATTGTCGCTTAGAAGAACAGCCTATATTCTCATGTCAGCACATCTATAGCAGACGGACTCCGGACGATTTCTTTAATCCCAAGTTAGTGTACATACCGTCGGCTGAGCGGCAGGTCCAGGAGCGAGACCAACACCACCACCAGCTTGAGCACCAGCAGCAGATCCGGCACCGCCACCGACAGGACCAATACCACCACCGGTGAAAAAGCTTGCAGCACCGCCGGCAGCTGAACCAGCGGCGGGGCTACCCACAGGGGCGAGAGGGACGGCAGAAGGGACAGGGCGGGCAGACCGGGCAGAGGCGACAGGACCGGCAGGGGTGACAGGACCGGCAGAGGCGAAAGGGCCGGCAGAGGCGAAAGGGCCGGCAGAGGCGAAAGCGCCGGCATAACCCGATCCGAAACCCGGGGGAGCCGGGGCGGTACGCGGTGCGCCCAGTGACGCACCCGCAGGACGAACAGGGTAGCTGGGAATGTTACCCGAAGTCTACATCGCATACGATGTCAGCGCCAACCAATCCTTCGTTTTGTCAAAGCAAGCAGAACACATACAGGAACGCTAGCCAGCAGGACCGGATCAATCAGGGCCGGATTAATTGGGCTCACGGTCGGCCGGGCAGGGGCGGATGATGCTGGGCGGGGCTTCAAGTGTAGGTGTCACTTGGTTAGCATACAAGGTCTGTTAACTTGTTCTAGTCTTTCTTGGATATCTCCATACCTGAGCGCCAACGGGGGAGGGACCGGCATGGAACGAAGACGGACCCATGTTGACAACTTGGTCAGTCTGCCAAGCGGAGGACGAAGTCGGGTACTATCTTGCCGTTAGTGTCTGGCACTTGGGGGTGCTTTTGATGCCGCCGTCGTCGGTACATACCGTTGCCTGGGGTTGAGCCGGGAAAGTCGAGCCGGCGGGCAAGGGCCTCGGGACGAACTGCTGCGACTCCGAGGGCCTCGGGGCGGGGACGGCTTGGGCAGGCTGGTACTGCGTTACGTTAGGATTACCAGGCCGGTCCGTTAAACACCACTTGTGAACAGCGAGGATTGTGGATGGATTTCAAATTGGGTGTTTGCACTTACCATCGACTCCGGAATCCGCACAGCCTGCTGCCGAGGGTCTTGAGCGGAAGCAGTACCGACAGCCCAGGTCATCATCTGCTCATGGGTCATGAAAGGGCGGTCGCGGTTGATTGGCAGCGACTATGCCAGTCAGTCAGCAAACCACATTCAATCGAGGGACAACCAAACGACTTTCGAATATGACTTACCGCGAGGAGCGGAGCCAGCGGATAGTCTCGCTGGGCGGCTTCAGCGCGGGCCCGAGCGATCTCAGCCTCGGTGGGATGGTTGGCGGCGGCGGCATTGTTGGCGTCGTTCGACTGCTGGTCGAACTGGGAGTTGTTGGGCGCACCAGAAGACATTGTGACGATGGTTTAACTGCTTTCCTAGGAAAGAAGAAAGGTTGAGGTGCGGTTGTCGTGATGGTGCTGTCGCTTTCTTTAGTGGTGAGAAGAAAAAGGCGATTTGTGCTGCTTGAGGTTTGGGAGGGGAAGAAGCCCTAGATAAAGGAAAATTTTTCCTATTCAAGCCGCACTTGCTGCTTCCATGGTGGTGAGTCGCGTCGGCGGCGGCTTGAGCGGAGCCGGTGATGTCGTTCACGGCATCGTCGTGGCTAGTACTGCGAAAGGGACAAGCCGCATCGACAGCTCGGCGTGACCCCGTGGCCCTGGAGAATCGCGCGGCAAGGTCTCGGTAAGACTGAGAACTGGTGAACATGATGGATCTCATGTCAATGGAGCTACCTTGAACACTTCACCGGAGTGCGAGTTCATTGTAGGTAGTTGTTGGTCCTGTCGTCGATGGTGAGATGTGTAAGGAAGGTTTAAAAAATCAAGGGGTAATTCAGGGGGCAGAGGGCATGTCTAACATCAAGTTACCCAGATGTTTAGGTATAAGCACATATCGCTTTTCCATCTTCTCAGTACAATAGCTCTGACTCTCTTTCAGTAATTACTAGTAGAGACAACTGTCCGATTCCCGAGCTGTCTACATGGATGATGGATGTATGCAGTAACTCAGCGGTCCTCCATCTTCTCACGCTGAAGATCGTTTTCATCGCACTGTGCTGGTCGTTCTTAGAGATTGGTAGCAAGCTTCTTTGCACTT